GTTGTTTGTTTGCTTGCTTTGCATGCATTCATGCATGCATTACTTGCTGCTTTGCCTATAAAAAACGAGCTAACTCATTTATATGTTAATAATCATTATTATTACTACTACTATTGTTATCATTATTCTTATTATTATTATTATTATTATTATTATTATTATTCTTATTATTGTTATTATTATTATTATTATTATTATTATTAATTATTATTTATTATTATTGTTATCAATTATTATTATTATTAATTATTGCTATTATTAATTATTATTATTAAATTATTACGATTGTTATTATTATTATTGTTATTATTCTAATATTATGCCATAACAGCAGCATTGCTTTCCCCCAAATTAATCGATTTTTCTCCATTTCTCTTATTTCATGGTTGGAAGCTTACCAACGAAAGCCTCTGTGGACCTACCTGTTTATCGATTATTATCCGGATAGTTGTCTTTTTTCTTCCCTTAGAGAACTTTTTCCGCCTAAGTGCATTTTAAGCATTAAATTCATCTGCCTTTAATAAAAAGAGATATCATAGGAATCTCACTTCAGCTGCCCTTTCATACGACCATAACTCTTTGGACTGTATTCTATTACACTGCTTATTTTTATATGCATTTGACAGATTTCATTCTTTCTGCATCCTTCAATAATATAATTAATACATTATTGCGTGAATGCGCATGAATGCTACGGTTGTCTCATGGCAATGATATGTAGTGATAATAATAAGCGTAATAAAAGAAAAGTATTGACTGTACTATTGATCACTAGAAAAATATATAGCAACTTTAATGTAGATGATCAGAGTTCAGTCTTTTGCAAGTGGTCTAAAATAATTACTTAATGATTAAGTTAAATTGAATTTTTCATCCGTTGTCAGTGAGAGATGTTTGGAATATCCTAGGTATCAATTATATAAAATGGTTTTCTAAGTATAATTGAGTTGAAGTATTAAATAGTATCGGAGAAAATTTTTTTTGGAACTAACTTTCTCTTCACCAACCCTCACAATATTTTATTTATCTCAAATTTTTCGATGCGTTATCTTATTTTCTGTTTTGTTTTCAATCTCTTCTGCATTTTCAAGAAGAATTATCTCAATAGAATAAAATGAATAAGTAAATTAGCTACAATTGTTTTTTAAGCATCTAAGTTTCTATTAAAAACAGTTTTTAAGTTTTAATCTGACATGGATTGATGTTTCAACTAACTTTCAGATTTTTCATATCTAATACTTTTTTATGGGGGCAGAATAGCGAGAAGCCACATTTTCGGTTAATAATTCATGTTCTATTGTGGGTAGCTTGAGGAAGTCAGCCATTTTGCCAGTTTGGTATATTCCAGAAAACTGAATGCAGCATAGACGAGAATTGAGTATCTCTTCTATGTGTCTTTGCACAAATTTTGACAACTATCATACGTAAGCCACATTCTTCGGGAGGATGTATTTGTTCCACTAGAAAATTTTGTCTTAACCAAGCTATCTCAATTTACTATCTCTTTTATTTTTCCGTTGTGAGAAGGAATTTTTTTTTAATGGTTTATCTGCTTCAAGTAAATGATAAAAGTGGAAATTTGTCCCCATCCTCAGAGATAAATTTCCACCTTCTGTTATTTATTCGTTTATCCGCATTATTATTGTCTCTTACAATCTTTTGTCGTTGTCTCATTTCTTTATTAAATGATGTTATATTTTTCTCTGTGCTAATATACTGATCCCTTTTATCAATCAAGAAATTAAATGTCTTAGTAAAGTGGAACAGCGCAGTAGAATTAGTCTATTGACATAAGTGCTGGTAGTACGCTGATGCAAAGTCTGAATTTTCCGTGCACTGATGCGCCACATGCGCCACTTGCTGATGCATTTGAAGTGGATGATTTTTTACTGGATGATGTTGAACAGTGTTGCAATTTCCAAGTTACTGATAGTACCAATGGTAAGTTCGAAGGGAAATGTCGCTTCTTCTTTCCATCTTTTTCCAAGCAGTTTTTTAAAAAAAAGTAAAGTCCAAATCCTTCTTTTAAAAATTTTCAGCATCACTAACTGGAGGAAGCGAAATGTCAGATGATAGCAAAGATGAAGAAGAAATGGAGCAAGATGAAATGGATATGCTTACAGATGTGACCGACGATGACTTCTTTTCCGAGGATGATGGTGAATTGAATAAAGAGGACGAGTATCCAGGTAATCAGATTTTAAAGACTTTTCAGCTTTCCGACACTTCTGAAGTAGACGGTCAACACCGAGCAACCCGAACATCAGCGTTCAGATTTATCAGAGGAAAAGCCAACTGATGTTACTTTTGAAAGAATGGGTACAGAATTCCATAATCTGTACGTTAGTCTTGACATTCTGGACAAAGTTTGGGTAATAAAAATCGTGCTTATTTCTCGGAAATCCCTTCGAACTCTATTTCTTGCAATAGCTTTGAATTCTATAGTGAAGGAAAAAAACATTATGTCAGAGTCCGAATTTTTAAAGTCCCTCTTTCAGAATTGATAAGGACCTGTGGGGAATCAGTCGTCGAGAATGAAAGTTATGATTTTGCCGTGATGGACATTGAAAAGGATATGAATAATGTCAAGAGAAAAAGAAAGGTTAATTTCGTTTAAACATCCTTGATTCTTGCCAGGATTTTCTGTTAAAATAAATCCACTTCATAGTTTAACAAAAGGGCATTAAACAGTCTATGGAATTTACATTCGAAAAAATTATTCAGTGGACAAAAACAAAATAACTCTGATAGATTTATTTCTTCGGACTTTTCCTCGGCTGCAAATGAAATTGAACTAAAAGACTAATGCATTTCATGTATCACTTTAATGTTTTTCAGGCAGATAGTTCGATGACAAGCAAGAAAAAACGAGTGAGATGATATTTTCTTTTTTTAAAGTAGAAAATCCAGTCATCAAAGCGAGATAAGAAAAACAATAAATCAATACGATCATTATTTGCATATTCTTCCTGAAGGTGCTTATTTTGTATAGGCAAATCAACTTCACTAAGCCAAAGAGTAACTTAGTAGAGAGAGCTAGATTATTATTCATTCTTTTTCTCTTTTATAGTTCCATCCTTTTTGTGTTTCGCTTTATAAATGATTTGCACTGTTGTATTGATCTCCTACAACGCGACCTGCTGTGTTAATTGTTTTCATGCTTTGTTTCTTTATGCCTCGTTTTAACGATTAATCCACCAGACTAGTGATAAAACAAAGTTGTCAAATTGTCCAACCCATATAAACTTGTAAATTATTATTTATCAAATAAGAAAAATATTCGACAGACAGCTGAAAAACATGATCAAATCATGTAACAAAACAATCCATTATAAATTACATAGTAAGTGATAATAACTAATAACGTACGCGCTGCTCCATCCGACGTCGATTTTGAAGATTTGCGTTCCAACGGTTTTTATTTGAAGACTCCTAAAAATTTTCTAATATAAAGCTATAAAACAAGGAATATAGAAGTTCATTTTCATATTGGAAGTTCCTCAACCAGAACTGCTGAATTATGCCAAATTTATTATCAATGAAGTATATTCCAAACTCAAAACATTTTATTCTATAAGACAAAACTACTTCCGGTTTCACAACCGATGACAATAATATTAATACACATGCTCCTTCCGATAGACCATGTATTACCTGATAGGCCATGCGGTTAGGCCGTTGCTGTTGTTCTGTAGTAATTCGTTCTTGGCGCAGATTGTACCATGCGCCTGGACCTGTATAGCTACGCCCAGCTCGAGGTTCAAGGATCTAGAAAATAGTTGGAAATGATTTAGACAATGAAAATGCTTGACACCTGGAGGATTTTTCTTATACATACTTGTTCATTACTATCAGCAAGCTGAGTAAGTTTGTCCGTCAGATGCAAGGCCAGGAGTTGCAATCGACTTGGTTCGACACGATGCATGATAAGGCAATCTGTAGGCTCGTCCAAACTTGCACTCAACTCTTCCGAAATGATCATTTTGCTAAAATAATTCCTATCTCATATCACATTTCCACTACAGTGAATTAAGGATCCGTAAAAATTAGTATGGAGAAGCCGAAAAATAACGGAAGAATCTAAAACTTAACAGCAAATCCAAGCAATAATCCAAGCAATAACCCAAGAAAGTAAAGGAAATAAACTTTTTTGTCCAAAAAATACGCACAGAAAAAAAAGCATACCTGATCACTGAATGTACGGTACTTTTATCAAGTTCAAACAGCTGAGAAAGTGTATCCAATGAAACAGTGGTATAAACCGTTGAGTACATTAACAAATAAGTGCGTAAGGATTCTTCCTGAATGCGACGAATTACCATTTCCTTTACTTTCTCCGAGTTACGGAAGAGGTTCCATACCTGCAAATTAAGATTCTATGTATTATAAAAGTTTTGCTGCACTTCGAATCCCAAGGATGATGTAACACGAAGCCAGGTACAACTATTTAAACAATACATCCCAAACACCATATTCGTAGTTTAAAGTAGAATTGCAAACAAACCTTTGCATCCATTTTGTCGTTTACAATGAAATCGCGACATTTTTTCCAATCGCCACTTAACATAGCCCTTGATGCAGCTACCACATGTTCACGCGTATTCTCAGGTGGACCAATGAGGGAACTTTTCTCCGACTACATATAACAAAAAAAAGCGTTCACATGCTGACTAAGTTCACTTCAATAACTTTCTCGATAAGAATAAACTAATTAATAGTCTATATTAATAGTCTTACCTGCTTCAGCTGATAATGAAACGATCGTGACAAGAGGCGGCGCCTCAACTCATATTCCTGTGAAGCCATATGCGGTATTTCCAGTAGCATTGAGCATATCAAATAGACGCATTCCATGAGTTCAACGTTAATGTGCATGTGATAAGGAATTTGCCTTGCACGTTCCAATTTCTCCTGAGCATTACGCGATTATTGTAGATTTAAGTTTTAAAAGAGATGAAAACTTGTATTATATTTGAAAAACAGAAAAATACCAAAATGGAGAGCAAATAGTCTTTAAAAAAAGAAACCTGTTCAGCCGTTCTTTCTTGCTGCCTCATAGCAATGCCCTGTGCTAGCAGTTCTTTCGCTCGTTGTGTATTTTGTATTTCGGATAGACCTTGATGAGCTTCTTTGATAAAACTATGTCGGAAAGCACATAAACCAAGTTGGCATATTGTTCGATTATACAAAATCTTAAACGCATAATATGTATAACATCATAGTGTAAAGCATTGGAAATTATTTTCACACATTTGAGTGAGTGTAAAATATGGCTGCGCAACTGAAAAAGGAAGTTTAGAATTTATAAAGCAATCGATCACAACGGAATATTATCCGTTTAGATTGACATGTCTAGAACTAAGTCGTCATAAAATAACAATCTAAAATGGTGCCGTGCCAACCTGAGTGCTAACATCCGAATGATCAACAATAGCTTGCAAATGTGACATGAGCATCAAATCTCGTGCTTGATGCCACTTGTCATGTAATGCTAAATGATAAATTTGACAAAGCATTGCACGCTGTCGTAGACGCTTTGTATCATCACGCGCGTACACCTCTTTACAAAGCCGTTCCATTATCGCTAGTGATGACTCCTGCCCATGTTCTATTGAATCTTCAATTTCGTACTGAAATACAGTGTTTTATCATCCATCAATAAAAGATGCGAACTTTTGTTAAACCTTCAATTGAAAAAGGATCTGAAAATTCCGCAAATTAAGAATTGAGAATTGAACATTTTATCTAATGCAGCAATGGCGGAAATTAAGTGAAAGTGAATACATTATAATTTGAAGTTAAACTCAAAAAATACAATCATAATGTATAATCAGCTAACTGGAGAGAATGAAAAAAAATAAATTAATAAACATAAAAAGATAAAAAAATATGAAAAATTCACTTTGTAGTAGAGATGTTCAATGCGAAGCATATACAATTTACAAATTTCCTCTTCTAAAAATACATTTTTATCCAGTCGAGCATTGACATAGTCCATTAACTTATTGATGAGGGCGCATAAGTCTTTTTCACCTTTCAATCTAAAATCATCCAATAAAACATTTTTTCTCTGAGAAAACTAAATCCAAAAAAAAACTGGATATATCTCCCTGTTTCAGATGTTTTCTTACAAAATATAGGAAGACATCACTACAAACAGAGGACATATCCAGTACAATCAGTCTAGCAATGGTAATTTAACGCGTATTCAATTCAACCGAAAAAAGACTTAATCGCCTGAGTGGTTTAGTCCAAGAGCAGGCAGAAAAACAAAGCGTAAATTTGGGCCATCTAAAACAAATTTACAAACATCAAAGTCATTGTACAACTGTTTGCAGCTTTTAAAAAATGCTTTGATTTTCGCTATTGCTGACCCACACTCTTCTGACACTTCAATGAGGTTAATTTTAACGGTTAAATAAAGTTATAATTTAGAGGAATTTGACAACAACAAACTTTTCAATGTAGTCAGTGCTGTGACAATCCGCATTTTGCAATATCTTAGTTAATTCTGTATCTAAACGATGCACACTCATTAGGACAGAACCATGCACAGTATATGGTTTGGTTGCATCCTGTATGTTTTCGTCATCTTCATTGATGCCTATTGACAATACAATATCAGGATACTCGTTTAGCATATCTATCAAGCTATTGGTAGCTCCCAGCGTTCTGAAACAATCATATTAAAAATTTTATATTCTGAAACAGACATTTATACTAAAAAAATTCATAGAAAACTTTTCTGCGTGTAAAATATTTAATAAAAATCGGTACTTGCTCCAAGAAGAGTAATCCATATAGTCGCTGATTCGAGCATTTAGTTCGAAAAGAGCAGAGATGATTGAAAACAAAATTTTCACCAAAACACCAGCACCAAGTTTATGCTGAAAATCGCATTTACTGATTACACTTAAGATCAAAACTATTCAGGCTAATCAAATGTGTAAACATTAGGCGATACAAACCTCATCTGCAATCCTGAATAGTTCCTGCAAGCTGCGTACGTAATGCTTAGGATTGGTCGACCTGCGTCCTCGAGCAGCAATGACTTCTTGTAATTTGTTGATAACAGCCTTTAAAACTATTATAATTATTAAAATTATTAAATATGTGTCTATTTAGTTTGAAAGTCAGAGATCACTGACGACAAAAATTATGCTCATTAGAGTCTCACTTCATGGTTAATTTCAGTCTTCGGATCAAAAAGCTGACGCATCTTCTCTTCTTTTGTTGGCACAGCAACCCATGTATCATCATTTTCATTTTCTTCAGTTTTCTCTTTCGCTTCACGCTCTTTTTGTTCCTTTTGTTTTTGTGCTCTTTCTGCCTGACGTTTTTCTTTACCTTCAGTCTCACCACCTTCTTTGAATTCTTTTCTGTAAAACGATTACTGTAATTGTTATTTATGAGCATACAGTTTTTCTCATCCAAAATAAAAAAAGTACTTCAAGAAGAATTTACGCAAATCCTCCATTTGTTTTCCTTCAAGATCAAGATCAGAATCACTGTCCGAAGAAGCATTTGAGTCAGAACTCCATTCATCTGAATCTTTGAGATCATTACGCGGTTGACTTTTCTCCACCTCTACCTCATTTTCCGACTCCTCCTGAACAAACATTCAAATAAATCGAACACTTAGAAAAGTCTGCTGAGCTCAGAAATGAAAAGCAAAGTGCCAATTTTACTTGCTCTTCTTCTTCATCTTGATTATCTGCACTTGAATACCCCACTGGATCTGGTTCTGCTCTGTAGGCATTGACTTCCACTTCCATATCCTAAACATGAAGAATTTCAAATCATCCTTAATAATCAAGCTCTTGGATAATACATTTTTCAAATTTCATATTCTTTTTATACAGAAAACAGCATTATTTACTTTATTGTATTTACGAATTTTCTGTCGCAGTGCAGTGAGACCCTTCGAATTTGCTTTCGACATAGTTTTTCGTGCTTCTTTGTCATCCCACTGTTCATTCACAAAATCTTCTAATTCAACCAAAATCCGCACATAAAAACGAGGCGTTGACATATTTTGTCGTGTTAACACAACTTTTGTCTTCTCAAATACTTTACATAATTCTTCGAACGCTGAAAATCATTATGATGCTTTTTGAATAAATGGATTTCTAAATTTCGCTGGAAAGGTTAGAGACAAGAAAGAAAAAAATTCACTAGAAAATTATATGCCAGTTAATCTACAGTTGATTTATTCATAACCACTTTACTTTAAAAAAGAGATAAGTTCTAAATTCTCGATAATATTTTACTCCTTTACTTGACAAAAGCTTCGACATATCCTTGATGTTCCTTGAGTTCTTTGCTTGTTTGATTAGATCTTTTAGTTCTTCAAATTTTCGATCTTTCTGTGCCTTAACAACGCGCTTTTGCCCTTCATCATCACTATCAGACGGGTATGCGAAAGCGGCTCTATAATTACATCATTAATTGCACGCCGAACTTGATTCCAGGAATAATTCCATAAGATCAGAAGGCAAAACTTCAACAAAAACATACTGCGGTCTCTTGATCGGCACATACGGTTCCTCATCACTGCTTTCGGAACCCGATGAGTCGGAACTTGATACTGCACCTTTGAAGAACTTTGACATTCTCCTCGATCAAAACTAAAAATGACATCATAATCAGCATATATTTCATATTCATAGATAAGCCTTTGGAAACTCTCAGTTTAGTGACCTCAACTCAACACTTCCTCTTCAAAACAACCCCTAGCTAACTCCAAACCCATCCTTCTCTTTCCACCCCTCAAATCACTATCCGTCCCAAGGTACACACAGCCACCTGTAATCTCTGAGATACACTAGTCGTTGTGAAACACGTTTGTCCCATCATCACTGAAATGACAGATTAAATCAATTTGCTTCTACAATTATTATGTTCCGTTGATAATATTTTCTCTTATTTGACCAACAGATGCTAAACATATCTTAATAAACTCTGCAATCCATCGAGGAATAAACTATTGACTGAGCGGAACAAATCACCTTTGGTCACTAATAAATTCTGCAATCCATCGAGGAATAAACTATTGACTGAGTGGAACAAATCACCTTTGGTCACTAATAAATTCTGCAATCCATCGAGGAATGAACTATTGACTGAGTGGAATAGATCACCCTTGATCACTAAAATTCACTAATAACCTTAATTTCGCAATATTTATCATCGCATTAAAAAAACTCCACCAATATAAAACCAAATAGTATCTCAATGTTTTATTCCGGACTGATAATTTGAAATAGTGAAATTTTCGAAGAGCAAAATGAAATAAATTCAAGATAAACAAAGAAGACAAAAAATTATTATTTTATTCCTTTAATTGCTTTTATTAATTAATGAGAAAATGAATTAACATTTGTTGCGCAATAAATATTTTGAAATTCTTAAGCCTTAAAGGCTAAAGTTAAAAATTACCAAACCAATCTCTAATTTTTTGGGTCTAAATCTTTATCATTTATTGGTAAATTTTTATCAAAGTATCGCAACATTTTTTGTTACGATACTTTGATAAGAATTTTTTTGTTGCTATACTTTGATAAGAAAAGATAACAAACATTTTGTAACTTTGATAAGCTTATTCTTCCATCACTTTCAGGATAGCAATTGAAGAATTTCACATTAAATATGTGCGACATTGATACTTAAATTAATTTTATATATTTTAATAATAATTTTTTTCGTTTTAATAATTTTCATTTTTAAAAATAATTTTAATAATTTTCAAAAAAGGATACTTTTTATTATTATTATTATTATTATCACAACAAATAAGTTCTTTCTTTTTTCATTTTTACATAACTTCTATAATTTGTAAATCTGACGATCTTTTTATCAGAAATCAGAAATTACTGATAAATCTGACCATTCAAAAAGAAATCAGAAATTATGAATAAATCTGACCATTCGAAAAGGAATCAGAAGTTACGAATAAATCTGACCATTCGAAAAGGAATCAGAAGTTACGAATAAATCTGACCATTCGAAAAGAAATCGAAAATTACTAATAAATCTGACCATTCGAAAAGAAATCTGAAATTACTGATAAATCTGACCGTTCAAAAAGAAATCAGAGATTACTGATAACTCAGAAATTACTGATAAATCTGATCATTCAAAAAATCCTATTCTATTATTGTCTAGCGTGTATTATATATATATACATGAATATGTCTAGATATTGACCATTTGTTTTAGTTATTGATCGCTGCTGATATATGCTCATCATCTAATACATATAGTATCATTCATTTCTGGATCATTCATTTGTAGAATTGGAAGGAATTTGGTTGAAATTGAAAAAAGAAAGGAGTGACCATTTCGATTACATCATTCGAATATCTTATTGCTCCGTACTGTTGACATTTGTTGTTATCAATTTTTCAACGGTTCACCTCTCCACTCTCTACTTTTCCTTTTTTTTTGATACTATCCATTATTCTTACTTAATTAAACAATTCTTTTTATCATTCGATAATTAGTAAAATTTTTGAATGTTACAACTCAAAATTGATATTTTTAATTTTTAAATTCTATTTGAATGGAAATACTAAAAATTAAATATTCTTCTACTTTCATCAATCTATAAAGTTTAATATTTTTGTCAATTCTCTTATCTGTCCTAAAAAGTTCAGTGATTTAGAGAATATTTGAAAATGAATTTATCTGTTTAATAAATCAGTGATTTAGGAGAGCTAAATTATCTGCTGAAATTTCTGCAAATCTTTATAATGAAAATTGTAGGTTCAAATCAATTCTCATATAAAGAACATTTTTGGAATATAAATATCATTCAATGATCTTACGTTTATGATTATGAAAACTTTATCTGTTGATAATATCGTGATACAATTTTTAGGAAGGAATTTGGTTATACAATGTATCGCTGGAAGAAGTATTTCATCGTAAGTTCCTTCATCTTTATTTTTCTTTTATTCCACTAGGAAGTATAAAAAGTTTTACTTATTTAAATTTGATTTATCAATTGCATAATTAGGATTTATGAGTGTTTATCTTTTGAAATTCAAAGAAAAATCAATCAATAAAATTAGCTGTAAACAATTTGCGCCATATTGACTGGCTGATATTTCATTAAAATCTAATTCGGCTGATATTACATTAAAACAAATTACAATACATTTCATGATACTATCTCAATTCGTTATGTTTTTCCAGTAGTTATACAGTAATTATTAGTTCTTAGCTAATATCGCATCATTTAATTTAGATTAAGTTTTTAATTTTCGATTTACTTTTTTGTCATTTCTTTTATTTTCAGTTATTATCCATTAATATCTTTATTCTGTGTTTATTACGCATATCCAAACAGCGATTATATCAACAAGATTTGTTTACGGTTAGCTCAGCAAACTTTTATGGTTCGTACCGTCGATGATTCGATAAGATGTGCGCTTTGAATTCCACGCTATTTTGAAACAATCGATAATGGAATGACATAGAATATTTGATGTTCTCTTTTTCAAAACTTTCTTCGACAATTTCCATTAAGAAGATCTGAAGGAAATTCAGCTCTAAATGAGCCTGATATTGAAATTATTCAATTCCTAATGAACTCGTCAAATCAACACACTCAAAACCTTCCATTGATTCATATATCATTTATCGCTTGAGTGTATTTCCTATTTTACGATTATTGATTTTCCAGATGATCCAACGGGTGAAACTTTATTGCTAGAAAATACTTGTAAATTTCCGATAATTGAACCAAATGAACCGAATTTAAATGGTTACATAGAGCATTACAGGTTATTTGCCTTTTGAATATTTTACCGGATTGACTACCGGATTGTTTGAATGTAAATTTTCCTGATTATTATCTGTTTGTTATGAAGTGCAACAGATTTTTGGTACGACTGAAAATTCTATGATTACATAGAGAAAGAATTTAGTCAATATCCTTCCAAACAGCATTACGTAAAAAATATTCGACAAGAATGCATTTTATTGATGAATGACAAAATTGCGGATCGGTACTGAATCGTTTTCAATTGGGTCAATCCAATTGGCGAATCTTTGTTATCAAAAATTTGACAGAGATATTTGGGTCAGATAAGGGCAGTAGAAAAATTAATTAAAAAGAGGAGCAGTAATTAATGAGAATGAATAAAATGGAAGTATAATTTTATCTCTTCAGCACCATAAAAAGTTCACTTAAGAAATTAATAATTGCTTGTTTTATTTAGCAACTTCGAAATATTAATCATTTAATAACTAAACGTAGAAAAAGTACAGTTACTGCAGCGGTACTAATAGTAGCAATAATAATAACTAATAATAATTATTAATAATAATAATTGATAATAACAATAATAATTGATAATAATTGATAACAATAATAACAACAACTAATAATAACAATAACAATTGATAATAATAATAATAATAATAATAATAATAATAATAATAATATTAATCAATAATAATAATATTTAATAACAACAATAATAATAGTAATTAATAATAATAAATAATAACAATAATAGCTAAGAGTAATATTAACAATTGATAATAATAATAATTATTAATAACAATAATAATATTCAGTAATAACAATAATAATATTTAATAATAACAATAATAATAGTAATTAATAATAATTAATAACAATAAGAGCTAATAATGATAATAACAATAACAATATTGACAATAATAATAATAATAAGAGCATGCAGATGATATGTGATATGTAGTGTCAGCAAAATTAGAATAAAAAAAGAGAATTGAACTCGATATATTTCTGCACATTCAGTTTCTCTATTTTATATTTTGAATTCATCCATTTTGTAGATCGATCCATTGTAACAGCGAAATGCCAAATATGGCTTCTATGGACGATGGCTATTTGATTTTACATGGTGAGCTGGAACCTTGGAAACAAGCTCGAGTTCCCACCTATAAGTAATATTTTTTAAATTGCCAATTTCATACTCTTTCATATACTTTTGATCATACTATAGTTTACTTCAAAGGAAACGAAAGGTTAATGGAAATCGAAAACTCTTTACTTATATTACGAATTTAATTCTTGACTCTTTCGATAGAAGTCAAATCTTCGTTTTAATTAATATTTCAGGTGCTATTATCAAGGTCTCAGTGGTGGTTTATATCCAAATATCAGTTGGTATCAATTGGTTGGCGATCTCGTCGAGGTATTTTTAAAATATTTTATTCAGTTATTTTAAAAATTGAAAACTGAATCTTTTTGCATTTAACTAATTTCTTTTATATTATATAATATTGAGTTTCAATTCAAAAGATTTTCAATCATTCTAAAAGTAATCACTACCGTTTCGTTTAGCAAAGAAAATCATTGAAAGTGTGATCAGTAATCGATCGATGCATCAATCATTTACTAATTAAATTATCTGATAAACTTATGAATTTTAAGTTCTAGCATTCGAAATAGTGAATTTTCAAAATGATCATTAGCATTGCAGATACCACGGAGTAAGCGATTTCGTGTTCCATACGATCAATTCGTAGTACGCTGCTATAACAAAACTTTGCGTGGAAGAATCAGTAATGAACCATTTTATAACAACAGTATATTTTATGAACGAGCTTTTGTAACATTTTCCAAAATGGATGATGATATGGTTGGTTGATAAGAAGAACTTTAATTTTCAATTCAATCGATTTTGCTATATCTTAACGTGGGTTGAAATGAAATCAGAAGGTTGTTAAAGTATGTTTTATTGATCGTTTTATTGAATTTCTGCTCAAATATTTCTTTCAGTTCAAAGAAAAATCGAAATTTATGCAAGCAGATTCAGTAAGTTTGTTAAAATTATTTTTTGAAAATGTTGAATTTTTTGCATTAGCAATAAATCTAAAATGTTTTTATATTTCATTCAATTATTTTTATTTTTGTTTTAACATTTCAATTAATTAAACGCATCGATTTTAGCATTAAAAGGATGTCATCATATCGTTTCTTTTATTTTCAGGAGAAGCCATCGCTTAGTATTCTTGTACTCGATTCTGTATCGCGGAATCAATTTTTACGACATATGCATAAAACTGTTGAATACATGAAACAGCTTGGTTTCATCATTTTAGAAGGTTTCAAATAATTATAAAATGCCTATTAATAGATTGTAAAGGTATTTGTAGAGGTATTCTGTAAAGGTATTTTCCTAAGGTATTTCGTAAAGGTATATCTAATTGTAAAGATATTTTATTGATGATTCAGACGAAAATTAGCATGCTATTAGGATTGGAGTAATCAATAGAGCATAAATGTTGCAAATCATTCTGATCTTTTCTAAAACAAAAATAATAACTTTTCATCGATGTAGTTTTTAATTTTAATTTAATAGAAAAAAACTTGTGCTTAATCGTTTAGGCTATACAAAAATTGGCGATAATTCTGCAGTGAATTTATTACCGATACTTGCTGGTAAATCAATATTACCGCAAATTGGCGGCGATGGTGATGAAATTTTACCACTAAATAAAATAGTCCCCTTAGAAGATATTGATTTTTTATGGAATATGATGAAAGGTATTATTTATCTATGAAGAGCTCTTTGTTTTTAATTGTATAATTATTTGATAATAATAAGAACACAAAAAAGGTTGGAATTAGTTGAAAAAAAAAATGGAAATTTAAAGTATCATTCTATCGGATAATTTAATAATACTATAAGATGCTGTTTAATTAAATAATAACTATTACTATTATTAAAGACAGGAGGTGTGTAACGATGGTTAACGATGATATTGGTAGTGTATTACGTGGTCTATTTCACTATCCAAAAGAAACATTCCAAGGATATAAAATTCCACCAACCCATTTTTATTTTCGACCATTTCACTTATTTAATACTCGTCATAATGTTATTCCGACCAGTGGTCAGTGTTTACGAACCGGCGAGGTATCATATTTACATTTTGCATTTAATCAAAAGATAATTGTTCACTTCAACTACTAATTAATCGTTTGATTGAAAATACAAAATGATGATTTTCATTTCAATTTGAAATCATTTAGACTTGTGCCGAAGTATATTTGGTTACTACTAATTAATCGTTTGAACTACTAATTAATAGTTTGATTGAAAATACAAAATTTGAAATCATTTAGATTTGTGCCGAAGTATATTTGGTTACTACTAATTAATCGTTTGAACTACTAATTAATAGTTTGATTGAAAATACAAAATTTGAAATCATTTAGATTTGTGCCGAAGTATATTTGGATATATGGGAAACATTTGCAACCAAATTTAAAGATTTATGTCATTTTTCATTTAATTTTATAACTGATCTAACACATAATAATCCAAATTTTATTGAAGCTATCGATGAACGATTGTTGTAAGTAATTTTTAAATAAATTAAATTTTGCATTTTTAATTTTAAATTTTGATATTCAATATTTTGATGATAAATAGAAGAATTCTTTATTTAAGTTTTATTTCATAAGATCATGAAATTATTTATTTAAGTTTCATTTCATAAGATTGCGAAATTATCGCTATTTGTTTCAATTCTCATCTTTTAAACTTCTCTTCCATAAATCATTCTCTAAACAACAATCAAATGCAGTAATATTGAAGTTGATATAATTATCTTTTAGAACATCTTTGCAACGTTTACACAGTAACGGAGTGTTCAATTCTACAGCACTGGTCATAATGGGAGATCACGGGAATCGAATTAATTCAATTCAACGAACATACATTGGTCGCATTGAAGAACGAGCACCATTATTTAGTATTCGATTACCTGATGCTTTCACTTACAAATATCAACGGGAAATAAGAAATTTGAAGAAAAATACGAAAAGGTTTGTAACGTTTAATTTAAACATTCTTTTGTTATCAAAGTTTAATATCTAATAATTATTGATTTCATATTAATTTAATTAATTGCTAAACTTTGAGATAAAACAAATTCATAGCTCTTTTTTTTCAAAACATTCAATAAATACTTGCAATTTCGTTTTCATAAATTTTCAATATCATCCGGAAATTATTAGGATTGCATCGGTATTGTCAAAAATGCTTTATACGGTTCTAGAAGATTTCCGGATGAATTTAAAAATTTAGATTAACAAGTAATTTTGACATACATCAAACACTGAAGGATATTTCGAGGGCAGAATTTCGACGAAATCGATCATATTATGATCGAAAAGGTTATTATTTCCGTTGAAGAATTGAAGAGATATTGTAAGAAATTTAATTCATTCACAAATAATTAATATTAATTCTGATAATCATTAGTGATAAAGGTGAAGAGTTTCTTCTTTCTGATAGCGAAGAAAAATGCTTCGATCATTCCCTTCTTAATTTTATTAATTTTTATTAATTAAAACAAAAGAAAGGTTTTAGAAAAATCCTAAAACTAAATTGTGATTAGAGTAGAATTTACTTTTGATGAAAATAGATTTATTATTTATTTTTTTCAATGATGTAATTATAAAACGGTAAATAATATGTCTACTAGGTAGAGGTGTTAGTTTAATGGATGAGGTGATAAGTGAAAAACGAAATTGTGAAGATGCTGGAATACCGCCGAATTTTTGTCTATGCATGGAACAAAGAAATTTACGTCGATTAAATAGGCAAATTTTATTGAAATTTTTTAATATTCTTTTTTTCCCCTAATTTTCTTTAATTAATCGATAAAATTAACAAAATTAAAATTTAGAATTTTTCTAAAAATATTCCAAAAAATTTTTGAAAAGAATAATATAGATTATTGATTGATTGATTGGTTGATTGTTTGATTGATTGTTTAATTGATTGATTGATTGATATAACAACAATAAAAATGCAGGAAAGGTATAATTGATTGATAATAGCAACGATAAAAATGCAGGATCTAAAATATTCCAAAATTTTTTGGAGAAAAAATAATATAGATTGTTGATCGATTGATTGATTGATTGATTGATATAGCAATGACAAAAATGTAGGAAAGGTGTGATTGATTGATAATAGCAACGACAAAAAAGCGGAATCTAAAATATTCCAAAAAGCGTTGAAAAAAAAATAATATAGACTATTGATCGATTGATTGATTGATTGATTAATTGATTGATTGATTGATATAGCAATGATAAAAAAGCAGGAAAAGTATGTTCTAATATTACGAATCAAACTTAATTATATCAATTAGTTTCTTTTCTCTTACAGTACATCAACAGAGTTTAAGAATTCGATAGAATTAGCAAAAGATACTATTGCAAATTATAATTGCTTTGATGTTGAACATTTGCAAATACTTTCGAAAAAAGTTGATGCTTATGCTATCAATCAAATGGTTCGACATGGATTACGCAATCAAACTGAGTGAGTTTTTGTTTTGATGATAATGATTAATATTTTATGAATAATTAATATATGTGAAATCATAGCAGTTATCATTAATTGAATTATCATATCTTTTGATGTCTATGAATATGTGAATATGAATATGTGATTCATAGAAGCTATCATATCTATGAATTGTTATATCTATTGATATTAATACTGTAAAATAGGCATTAATATTATAAAATAAATATATTTAATTTATAATTCGAACTCATTTAGCTGGCCAAAAATTCGAAATAAACAAGCAGAATTGGAAATAATTTATTTTGAAATAAATATTACGATACCTATTATTATGCAAAATTCAACAAATCGCAGGTTTGTATTATTTCGAAATAATTTTAATTCATTGTTATATTTAAAATTAAATATGTTCAGATATTTTTTGGCAGATATGCTAAAATTTGATAAATTTAAAATACACCAAAATATTTATGAATGAATTACGAATTGTTATAATTTCAACTTTTGAAATATAAATGTTTTAATGATGATGATATGATGATTATTGTATGATTATTGATTAATATGATGGTTTATTGATTTTACAGGATATCTGTATTATTCCGTATAAAACATTATGTAAAAGCGGGTGAATATTTCCTGGTTGATGAACCATATGTTTATCACGATGAATTCGGTTGTGATAGTAAAAAATTGCGTACATTTTGTTTACGTTGTAATTAATATGATATGAAATTTTGACCTTTTTCCAATAAAGATTTAGAGGTCAATTGCTTTGTTAATGTTATTATATACTAATACGACTATTTATTTATTTATTTAATTTGATTAGTTTGTTTTATTTCATTTCTTTTAAACGAAGTTACAAGAAATGTTTCTCTTCTCACAAGTTCGTCCACACATTTATATCGCACTCATTTCAATATGATATTAATCAATAGACGTGAATTGACGTCAATCTTACGCTTGACGACTTTTTTGTTCCGTTTAACTCTTAGTTTTATGAGATATCAACGTGAATTATATGTCAAGATCTTTAATTCAACGATGTGTATCATCGTTGAATTAAAGATTTTGGCGTATATTTTCTGTGACGCAGAAGTTGCAGTAATAGTGATATAACGCGACATCCTTTAAACGTCTTGTTTTGAATGCAACACGTAATTTGCGATTATTTTCTTTGCAGTTTAACGTCACATTTCTTTCCGTTATTGTTTGTCATTGTTAGATTGGAGAGATTTTAACGTGCTGGTTCACGTTTTTCTTTTTGCGCAATTCACGTTTTTCTTCATACGCAATTCACGCTTTTCTATGGGATGAATGATAAACAATTTGTTCTTTAATTTATTAAAATTACTGCTCCAAACTTGCTCTCTGTTCATTTTCAATTTAGGTTTAAGTTTCTTGACAAATTGCATTTCATTGCAACGAAACATGCACAATGCACGCACTTCCCAGTAATTATGTTATTGTTGCAATTTAAATTTCTCCTTCATTGTTCGCACTTTAATCTTTCCAACTCGTTTCAACATCCATTGCAACAACGGCGATCCATTCACATATTACTTGAATCAATCAGTTTCACCTAATGAAAATCCTAAAGCGATTCTTACTTAAAAACTAATTAATGAAATTAGTCAATAGAGGACTTTCTGTTGGTTCATTGCAGTAAAGGAAGGAATGTATGTTAGCAAATATCATCTTTGCTGGGCCTATCTTTTGCAAATGAACTATCAATTCCTCTTTCTTCTTTCAATTGTTTTCTTTCATTTCCAATGATAACTTAATGCAATCTATCAATCACTGAAAACTTTATAGATTTCCATCGATTGGTTCCAATCATTTCATAATCTAAACCATAAGGCTCTTGTACGCAGTACATTTCCTTCTTCTCCGAAATATTTTTATAGTTTTATCAGACTGTTATCATTTGAAGCTTTTACATTACAACATTCTCTTTCACCTCCATTTGTCACCAGTTTATGGTCATCTCTTATTTAGTATTTTCAAAAAAGTAGAAGTTTGATTATATATGAAGTTGGTTAGACGACGCGAAGTTCATTTTCGTTGTGATCCTTGGATTTATATTTGAAGAAGTTTGAAATTATTTGCTAAGATTAATCAGTTTAATTGATGCAGTTTAATTGATACAATTTACATCATCCATTCAAATCGACTTACACATCCGCAATTAAAATTTGTCTTACAGCAATTTTCAAATATTTCAGGTGAATATAATTTGGAAGAATTTTTGCACTACATAATTTATACCAGAAATTTGTTAGCAATTTCTCTACTTGTTTCCTATCTCATTTGGAACTCGTGAAACTTAAAGTTAACTTCAGAAAGCAACATTTTCGTTATCATTAAGTGAAAAGGAACATCCTTTAAGATCAGCAAAAAATGTTGCAATTTTCTTCTTCCTTTCGTATTTTTTTTTCTTCGGGTTGTTATCCGAGTGAAATTCTTGAGCAGGAATTCTTTCATCTTCCAGTAGTATAAAGATTAAATGTAGCATTTAATTAATAATGGTCTGTAAAAAGGTTTCCTGTTGCACTTTCAGGAACGGATTTCATATTAACGGAAAGATGAAAAATACTTCCTTTATGTTAAACTTTTAGCATAATTAAATTATCATCATCAAACTATTTTTAAAAAAAAAAAGAGGACGTTTTTAAAAAATTTTTATCATTAAAATTTTTAAGTGAAATTTCATGAGATAATGTGAATGAAATAAAAATGATACGATATATGATATACTGTGATATATTGTTATATGATATACTCATTAATATATGATATATAGATATAATATATGTAATATATTATAATATATTAATGTTTGATATATAGATATGATATATGATATATCTTATTTATTTTATTATATAGTGTTATATGATACGATATATGATATACCGTGATATATTGTTATATGATATAATATATGATATATTATTTTATAGCTATACTGTTTTCGCTGGGTACATACATTAACAACATTTGTTTCAAATAATTTTTATTTTTAAATGCATCAAATAAATTTTATGAAGTTTTCAAAGTTGCCTTCTTCTCTTTTTCTTCTTCTTCAAAAAAATTTACCAATCTTTGAAAAATTATTTTCATTCATTTCTTCTTAAGACGACTGCTTTGTAATCCAGATCCGCTTGTTCATTAAATTCCCTTGATTAATGACTTACACCAATCACTATGCTCATTCGCTGTATCTTAATCAATTAATTTGCTTATCTTCAAGATAGGATGATAGAGAATATAGTGATAGCTATAGGAATAAAGTTAAAGCATACTTCATCCTTTAATTTAATATCACAAGCAAAACGAAATTTAAGGCAACTCTTTCCAATCAATAAATATTTTTTTCATCAATGTACCACACTTAAGCAATACTCTTTATTATACCGTTTAGGCGATATTTTCTTATTTTGTGTCACATAATTGGTGTCACATAAAGTATACCAATTTGGAATTTATTTTGTTAATACAAAAAAATTTATGAGTGATAATAATTGATAGAAGAAAGTAATTTAGGAAATTAGACAGAGACAATTAAAATTGATAGCAATGATAGCTGTAATTATGAGTGATAATATGAAGTAATTTTGTATGATAATAATTGGTAGAAAGGAAGTAAGTAAAAGTGATGAGTGATAATTTGGTAAAATTATGAATGATAATAATTGGTAGAAAGGAAGTAAATTTGCGATCATTTCATATTGGGACAGATACGCACAGAGAGCGCCCTGTATTTCATTCGCTGATACACAATTACATACTATTTTTACTTTTCACTTGAGGAGGCAAATTTCAACTTCGTTGAAAAAATTTTGAAGGCCATTTCGGACACATTTCGTTTAATCATTCATTTGTAATTCGATTTATTCTATCAAATATATGCCAAATTTCAAATCATTTTTAATTTGAATCATTTGTTTTCCTATTTTTAAAACATCGTTTTTATTTTGCAACAAAAGGAATTTTAGGTTTAATTGTAAAATTTTTAGACAATGCAAAAAATTTAACAAACAAATTTTGAACTGAAATGTTATCTGTCATCGATTGTTTTACTCATGAACTTCTATGTAACCTTAAAATTAATCACTTAAAATTTAAAGATTACAAAAATCATCATTTTACTTTCTCTATCATCATTCTTTTATGTTGATAATTTATTGATAATTCTCATTTATCATCATTCTTTTATATTGATATTTTTTTTCTTCTTATATTGATAATTTATTGATAATTCTCATTTATCATCATTCTTTTATGTTGATAATTTTTTTCCTTACTTTAATTTCTTCTATATTAAAAATATTAAGGTTAGCTATTGGTCATTTGGAGGAACAAACAATACGATGATGAAAAATATGAGGTAGCTGTAAAATATCATTTCTCGAAATATTTAATTGATTGTTTGTTGTTCGAGTAGATCGATGAATGGTTAGTTATTCGCTTTCATTGTTTTTTTTTTATTTGAATTAATTATCTGAAAGGTCTGAAGAGATGATATTCTATTCTTACTTCTCTTCTTGAAATAACAACAAGAAAAAAGGATTCAACAAACTTTTCCAATCTGTGGAAACATAAAGGCAATAATAATAAATGACCTTTAACTACAACAAAGTTGTAATATCGTCTCAGAATTTAGTTTTCATTTATATCACAAAATAGATTTTAAGTTTTTAATTTTTTTGGAAATACCACAAGTAAATTTATATTAAACTAATTTAATTTTTGAAATAATTTGATTCTTAAACTAGTTTTTTGTAATATTATAAATAAAAATTCTAATTTCACTTATTACTTTTAGTTATTTAAAAAAATCTCTTCCCGTAATCACTTTTTATAGTATAATATAATCACCTTTTATAATATAAAATAATTTCCTGTAATCACTTTTTATAATATAATATAATTTGTTGAAAATAAAATAAAATGATTTCAAATCTTCAAATTTATGGCATGATCATCTTAAATATCTAATTCAAAAAAATTGGATTCTTAATTTAAATCATTAATTTTATATTCTTGTTATCAGTAATTGATTAGACAAGAGGAGAAAAGAATGGTCAGAATGCATTCCTTTTATATTATTTATTATATGATTTATGTACTAAGTTAGATCAAACGTATATTCAGAATTACGGAAGAACGAGTGATCAAAAAGAGATCAAATGCAGAAATGATAGTGAAAAGGAATCGGAAGGCATTATACGGGTTATTTTTAATTTCTTACATCACTACGATAAAGTTTTATAAAGAATTTAGTGTTCCATAGAAGAAACTTAATATATTTACTTAAAAAATGTGATTCAAATTTAATCAATAATTGATTTTCAGAAAATTGATAAGAAAGAAAATTGTTAAGCCATTATTTATAATATCATTTTTCCATTAAATAATACCATTATTAATTGATGGAAAAATAATATTAAAAACTTTTGTATTATTAATTTTTGACAAAAAATAATTTTTTTCAACATCATTTAATACTTCTTGCAATTTTATTACATTACCGTTGTTATTATCACTAAAATGAAATTAAATCAAAAAATGAAAAAAAGAATTATTTCATTTAGGACTATTTATTATGAATTAATAATAATAGTAATAGTGATAATAATAATAGCGATGATGATAATAATAATGATAATAGTATTAATTAATAATAGTAACAGTAAAAATAATAATGATAATGATAATAACGTTATTAATGATACAAATGGATATTAATAATATTGATGAAAAATTTTTCAAATTAAGAATATTTTGATAAGTTGGAATGAAAATGTTACGCGTGTTAACACTTATTATTATCGGAATATTATTAATCGTATTATGGATTACTTCGTTACGCTATTCCATTGAAAATGCTAACAATCATTTCCGATCATTCAATCAACAAAGTGTGTACTTTTCTTCTTTTTTAAATTTCTAATTAACTCTTTAATATTTCTAATTTATATTTACTATTACTTTAGTTAAAGTAATATTTTTACTTAAATATATACCATTCTTCTTCTATTAACTATCTTTTCTTTTTCGTCTCAGTTGGCAACTTTATGATACACATTTGATTGAGTGATAAGAGCACAATGACAATTGTGCCTATGCTACTTATAAACAATTGCTCATATGCTATTTATGAACAATTGCGCATATGATACTCATGAACAATTGCGCATATGCTACTTATGAATAATTGCGCATATGCTAATTACAAGCAATTACGCATATGCTACTTTTTTTTTGCTTTCTTTGAAGTATCATTTTCAAAGATAATACCATTCTTCTTAGGGTGTTTTGTTTTTGTTATCAGCTTACAATTTTATATCACATTAAGTCTATTTGATTGAATGATAAGAGCTCAATAAATAATTGCGCATATCCTTCTCATATGTCTTAATAATAATCTTACTTGCTAAATTTTATATTTGTTTAGTAATTTTAGTTAAGTGTTAAGTTTTATATTTATTTAGTAATTTCAGTTAAAATTATCGTAACTATCTATCTTTTTTTTCTCCCTCACTTAGAAGGAAATAATTTTTTGAATTTTTGATTAAATATATATATTTTTTTTCAGTTTAATTATTTATTCATTCTTACAAATATATAAGCAATGTTTTGTGCAATTTTTTATTTTCTAGTACAAAATAGAAATCTTATCAATGCAACAACAAAAGCAAATATTGACGAATTATTATTGGAAAGAGTTGAAGCAATTAAACGAAAGGTTTAATTTTTTTTAATTTCCACTTTTATGATTACAAATTTTACTTCCATTTGCTATAATATCAATAATTATTCTATTAATAATAATAATAGTAATTAATTTTAGCCTCCTTTGCTACCAGCCTATGTTTTGGAGGATGAAATATGTAAACAATTACTAACAAACTACAAATATTTAAAAATTCCGCAAATGAGCAAAGTTGGGAGTTATTCTTTTTTTAATTTCATTTTAATGATTTCATATAAAAACTATTTCACTTATTTTCATTAAAACAAAAGAAATTAACTTCAAATGTTATTTTCATTTTTTTTTTATTCTTTGAATTTCTCTCATATTACTAAATTGAATTTAAAAACTTTCTTTCTTTTTGAAGTATGTAGTAGCTGTAAATAAAAATAGTGATGAATATCGCGATACTTCCTGTAATGCTATCCGACAACGAGCTTTTTATTCTTCAGTGCCATTTTCAAATGTTGAAAAAAACTTTCCAATTGCATTTATCAGGATTGTTTATAAGGTTAGATATGATGTAAATGATCGATAATTCTTAATTCATATTTGTTCAATTAATAATTTGCAAATTTGCATAAAGCATACTTTTCCTAAATATCATTCTTTTATCCATTTCATTTATTCTGAAATTTATTTCAAATTGTTGAAGGATTTTCATTTGCAAGAACTTTTGCTCAATTTAATGTATGCGCCACAAAATTTGTATTGCTATGCATTAGATGCCAAATCTACAGCACTATTTCATGCGCAAATGCGCAATTTATCAAAATGTTTCCCGAATGTATTATTAGCGCCACGTGAATATATGGTTGATAGTGCTGGACATAATACTTCACGTAGTTTTCTGGAATGTTTACGTGTAATACGAAAATTACCTGGGTGGAAATATGCTATCTTATTACAGGTTTATTCTTTCTCTTACCAGTTTCCTTTTTTTAGTATAAATTATCTTAGTTTTTTAATTTAATGTACTTTTGAAATTTTTATACCTTTTTTGAATTGTTTTTTATAATATTTATTTGAGCTATTTTACGAAAAGAATAAATAAATAAATAAGAATAAGAACAAAAATGAGATTTTCATTTAGAAACTTTAGAATAATGATATCCCATTGAAAAGTAATCGTGAGATGGTAGAAATTTTAATCGCTCTAAATGGTAGTAATGATATCAATGTTGGATGTCCGAACGTAGATCGTGTACCCAATGATGCTCCTTGGACATTTCGAACACTTACACTCTTTAATGGTTAGCAAGCTAAGCTATCTTTGATGATTATATATGTTTTTGAAAAATGTTAAATTCTTTTTGACGAATTTTTTGTTTGAATTTTAATCAGTATTTTAATCAATATGAATTAATGATGATTTTAGATCATAAGCAAAATGATGATCGTAAATTACGAATAGCAAAAGGTAGTACGTCGGCATCATTGAGTTATGCATTTGTGAAATTTGTTGTTGATCAATTGAATTTAACAATTTTGCTTGATAAATTCGATCGTTTAAGTTATGGAATGGATGAAATGCTATTTTCATCATTGAATTCCGAAGATTCTTTAGGTTAATTTTACTTAATTTTATATTTTTCCAAAGGTTAATTTGGCTGAAAAAAAAAGCGAAAAGTCCTATGAATTTTTATTATTTTTATTATGATAGTTTTGCCATTTTATTTTTTCAAAATTTTCATAAAATTTGTATTTCAGGTGCACCAGGTGGATTTACACGACAGTGTATTAATGTTTATAATAATATGATCACCAGGTATTTTGTTATTATTATTAACTCAATGATTATTTAATGAAAATAAAGTGAATGAAAACTTGATTTTTATAAATTCTAATTAAATACTTTATATTTTATCTTATATCGGATGATTCAAAATTTGGGATTATGATAGCTAAAAATGAGTTTTAAATATAGGATATATTTAAATATGTGTCTATGAAATTTGAAATAAGTGGAGAAAATATTAATTAATGGCTGGCTAGTTTAATGGGAAGCAAATTACTGATAGTTTGATATTTAAGTAAACTGTTAATACTTAATAGCAATTTGCTTTAGATATGTGGTATGGAAAAAGTCCACAAAACAATGTCGAAGTGGTTACTATCGACATAACATTTGTATCTTCGGTATTGCGGATTTACCTACAATGAATATTTCTGGAGCTTTATTTGCTAATAAAATGCTTCCGGAATATGATTATACAGCAATCGGTTGTTGGGCTCAAGCTCTTTATTATCGAATTTATTCTCATACTAAAATTAAACCTGCTAAACTTAATAATTATGCTAATCGTTTGCCAGTTCGGTTTCATAATGAACGTGAAAGATGGAAATCCAATTTATCAGCTTTTAATTGTTCCTAATGTTAATTAATTTAAAATTTTAGCAGATAATGAATAAACTAATTTAATGCAAGCATTACTATCAGTTCACTATCAGTTGCAATAATCTCATATTGTTCCTAATTTAAATTTTTCAAATACTCAAAAAAAAATTTTTGATTCCAATTGTACAATATGAATGGTACATGCAAATATTATGGTGCTATGCTAATTATTCCATGTAAAATCATTGACAAGATAAAGTGCAAGTATTATTAATGAGGTATTACTAATTAACATGGTTTTGTTCTTTTTTTTACTTTTTTAATTATTTGTTTACTTATTCATTTGGACATTAATGTTAATTATTTTAATGAAGAAATAAAATTCTAAAGAATATTTCTGAAACATATATCACAAAATTAAGTTTAAATTTAGAAAATGGTTCAAAGAAATGAATATCGCTATATGAATAATATATCCATTAAATGTCTTAAATTATATTTTATTTTACTTCATCCATAGATGAAGTAAAATGGAGTTTTAAATGAAATTTAATTATTTAAGTCATTCATAATGCAACTTCTTTTAAGCTAATATTTCACAAAGTTTCACTATTGCTTCCCTTTTCAAAACTATTTTCAATGTAGTCGTTAATTTCTATATGTAAATGAATTTCCAATTGTATTATGTATCGAAGCAGGCAATATTTTTGCTGAAAGATCTATTCCTTGCGGGAGTTAAAATCTTTCTTCCTATTTTAGTTCAATGAATGCTAATTGAATATTATTATTACGTTACAAATCTTTTTAATCACTTGGTAAATTGAGGCACTTATAATGAGCTACTTTTGTATAATAGGTACTTTCAATTTCTAGAAATATAAAATGCCTGAAAAATGTTCAGTTTTATCATATATTCCCTTAATAGCGATTAGAGATGCGGTTTTAATTTTCCCATCCGGATGAAGTATTAAATAGAGATAACAAATGCATTTATAAGTGGACAACGTCCATTACTTGTTACTTGGTATCATTGCCCCATAATACTGCATTTTCATTCTCGATGATTGTGTAAAATCCATGTTACCACATATGTCTTTGATGCAAATTCACGTCTAACACTCTAACACTCAGTATTTGAAGTTGAAAAGCGTTGTTGATCCCCTTAAGTGTGGATCGTATTAGCTGAAGAAATAAATATAACACAGCTGTGATTCCTTTAACTTCGTGGATATTTGCAACTGTAAAGAGAAATGTTTGAATAATCATTAATTCTTCTCTCATCTGATAACAATTCATTCGTGGATTATGATTCATAGTTCAGCAAAAATGATTGCTGACCCAACTTCTACTTGCTCTTTTCTCATGCTCGGCACTAAGATTTTCGCTCTTTCTATTGATTTAATTTTGCTGATCTTTTCTTGACAAATGTGTGACATACTACCGATTAACTAGTTTTTGAGTGGTAGATTCTTTTCTTTGGATTTTTATCCGTTTATTCTTTTTCTTTCATCACTATACTGCATTGGTATCAAATTGGTTAATTTGAATATGTAAAAAGTGCAACATGAATAACCTAAGTGAGAATTGCAAAGAATAATACGAGAACTAAACATCGAAATCATGAGGAACTAAACAAAATCAAAGCACTTATTCGATAGATATGATGCAATCAATCAACGTTTGGTTGAATGTCAATTCATCATCGTATTAAATGAAAAAATTTGAAGTGTCAGATCCACCTCTCCTTCGGAAATTTGCTCATGTTATGTTCTTGTTAAGTTTAATATGTACTCCATACACTACTATAAATGAATGTTGTAAGGCTTCATCAAAATCAAAGTAATTCAAATATAAAATGAGACACAGGTGAATAAAGTCTCATATGAGATCAGAAAATTAGAGATGTATACAGAATAAAAAATGCATGGGAAACCGGAACAAATATCACTTTCGATTTTTTTTCCACCCATTCAGGTTTAAAATGTCCACTTAACAAATGAAATAAAAAATGAATGATTTTATGACCCATCATTCAGTTCCTTCAAAAATTGAAGATAGAACAAGAAAAATAAACTGAACTTGAGATTGTATAAGTGTTTGTTATCAGCAATAATCAAATGATAAGAAGGTGAATTGTGAAAAATAACTCATGGCAATGCCTGTCAATGATAACTGTTTCCTTCATATTTAGCTTTCATCATCCATAACGTCTAACAATATTTTCTTCGCTTCGGGTTCACCTGATGCGGTATTATCCGTGCAACTGGCAAGACCAGATGTAGAAGTTCCACTTTTCTGCGAAACATTTTTTAGAATCTCAGCTGGATCACTATTTTGCACACGTCCCGCTTTTCGTCTTTTGGCTTCCTCATTTCTTTGCTGTTTGTTGGATTTCCATATTTCTACTGCTTCTTTTACCTTTAATTATTTAAACTAAACCATCATCTGCAACGGACTACTTATTTTAATGGAAGATAGATGAATAACAAAGTCTAATGACAAAAGATTACTCTGTCTCATACATTTACCGACACTCAAATGAATGGATTGGTAGATAGCAAAACAGGAGTTGAATTCACTGATTTCTTTGAACTCACTTCATTTCATTTATTTTTTCATCTCTAACAACTCGATGAATAAAGTTTGTTCTTAGTGCTAGGACTCTAATATGTCTAAACATTCAAAAGCACCGGTTTCTCCAATTCTTCGCATTCCAAAACTCGCACAGCGTTTAAGACATCCACCGCAGTAACCGTTTTGCGTTTGTTAGACACTGCACATTCTTGAGCATACGTTGCAGCATGCAAAATGAAAACTGCAGCAGAGCGTGCTATTGCTGTTCGCGCATCCTGCAAAATCTTCGTAAGCCTCTCCTTCGTTATTAAACAGAGAAGCTCTCAAAAAAGTAGGCATGAAAACTTCATTCATCTTATAAAGTTTGATAATAAAGGCAAACTTTAGAAATGATAACGCCAGGCGGTAATGCTTCTTTTACCAAACGACCAATCACAGTTTGTGGTAATCGCAAATCCTCAGCAACATCGCCGTCCGTCATTTGCGTCAAAAGCCCTAGAAAAAACAAAGAATCAAAATGTTCTTTTTGGTGTGACACAAATCACAGCACGTAGTACTACAGGAATATATCATCAATAAAGCAGAAGCAAAAGTAAACACGGATTAATCACCTGACCAATAATAAATACCATGAAAAGGTTTGTCGTCTGTTTTAGAAATTACAATTATGCGTCATCTATGTATTATATATATTGCGTGACGTAACATAATAACATACAGTGATGATCAGTATTACCTATACTTTTGAAATGTATTATCTATTTTATCCAGAGATATCAATCAAAAATTTTTCATCCAAACTAAATTTGAGAGTCCAAACCGCAACTAACCAAACCCATCTAATAACAACCATCTACAAACCCATCAAACGATCTTTCAAAATAAAGCTATCTCTAACGATTTTTAAAGAAACTAAAATTCGTAACTTCAGAATTCGTACCTTCCTTTGAAAAAGTAAAATCCCACGCCTCTTTTACTTTTGTTTTTCTGACATTCTAATGATTAGACATTTCATTGTTGTGATCTCGGAATGAAGTTTGTACCTCTAATTTCTACTTCAGATATTTAGCGGTACACTAATAATTTATAAGAATAAATTTTAATAATTCATTAAAATGGAAATTTTAATTTCTCCACTACAAATTGTAAATTGGAATCAAAATTTCAACTATCATTTTGATTTAAAAAATTCACTCTATCAAATTAAATCATTCTATTAATTTTCAACTATTAGAATTGATAATTAAAACAAATATCATTAAATGAAAAATTTCTTTTGTAAAATGTAAGGAATGAGTTGCTAAAGTTAATTTGTGAAATTTCATTTTTCTTACTGATCAATTTCAAAAGCTGTATAATGAAAGTGAAAAGTTTTTTATCTATTTCCTCTACATTTCGAATAATTTTTATTGTAGTGAAAAATTTCTTTTAAAATATATAAAGGTGATAGAGAGAGAAAGAGAGAGAGAGAGGAAGAAAAAGAGAGATCAAAGGTGAAATGAGATATAATGCATTGTTTTAGGATATATTATTTCAAACAAGTTTTACACTAATTTATGGAATAAAAATTTTTATCACAATGGTAAAAATTTTTATCACATTTAGTGGATAGAAATTTTTATCTCATAAAATTTGTGTAAAACTTGTTTGATATTGTAATATCCTAAAACAATGCATTATATCCTATTTCATCTTTGATCTCTCTCTTTCTCCCTCTCTCTCTCTCTCTCGTGATTTGACATTTTGCAAAATTAATAAAGTAATTCTAAAATAGAAATTCAAAAGGAAGAATAGAACTAAAAACTTTGAGTGAGACGACGTAAATTTCCCACTTCTGATGGATAATAATTTCTTTATTTTGATTTTTGTGAAAGAATTAGACTAACTATATATATTATATATATATATTTAAATTCTGATGTGATTATCGTATATATATATATCATGTTTGAATACATTTCATTGATATTATGCATATAACGCATCACTTTAATATGTTTTATAAAATAACTGTTCAAAACTTCATCAGATCAGATCAGATCAGAATTTAAATGTGTTACATTGATTGGCTCTCTACGATAATCACATCAGAATTTAAAAGCGATACCTTAGTTGGATCTCTACGATAACCAGGTCAGAATTTAAAAGCAAGACATTGGTTGACTCTCTACGATAATCTGATCAGAATTTAAAAGTGTTACATTAGTTAGCTTTCTACGATGATCAGATCACAATTTAAAAGCGTTACATGGGTTGGCTCTCTACCATAATCAGATTAGAATTTAGAAGCGATACATTAGTTGTTGGCTTTCTACGATAATTTGGATGCCAGAAGTAAGCAAGGAAACGGAATATTTCTGGATATGTTTGAATACATTCCACTGATGTTATGCATTCGAATTTTGAATTCCATTCATCTACTAAATATGATATAGTTTGGCAGTCTCTTTTTCTCATTCTCTAATAATACCTTTCCTTTCTCATTTCTAGGTGTTTTTAAAATTTTAACCCTTTTAAAGCGAACTTTCACTCGAAAGATTATTTTCAGGTACAGAAAATACTTTATAACGTTTCTTTTTTTTTTGTGGTAAAATTAATTAATAATGAATATTTAATGAATTAATAATGAATAATATAATAATGGATGATATATCAATATTTATATGACAAATAAAAATTTATCACTAACATTTGAACGACGAAAGATACAAAGTTAGTTTAATAATTCTTCAATCTTATTTAATTTGCTAATTAACAATTTTCTGATATGTTCAAATTTAAAACAAAATGATTGAAAAAGTGAATTGTCGGAATGGCAAAATGATCATTAGAATGTCGGAGAAATTCCGGTTAATGATAACTACATTTATTCGTTTGTTTATTTATTTACATGCGAAATATAATTATATCTTGGATATGTGACATGATGGAATTTTAATATACCAATAATTGTTTAAATCTAACATATATTTCATGGTTAAATTCATTCTCTTCACATTGATAAGTTCAGTGATGAAGTAAGCTTAGTAATTCTTTCATCTTATTTAATTTGCTAATTATTAATTTTCCTATATGTTCAAATTTATGAATTTGAAATTTACCTTTTATAAACTGATCATATCACTTTAACCTAGCCTAGAAAAGGAGGAGGGAGATACAAAATATGTGTTGCTTTCATTGTTGTTTAATTTCTTCTACGGCATCTTTTTTTGATACATAATGAGACAGCGATAATAGCAATTACCACATTAATTAATAACAGTTAATTACTATGTTAATTAGTAACAGTGATAGTATGTTTGATTATGCGATACACAAATGTTTTAAAATAAAATTCACAATTTTAATTTGAAGTAAAAGAAAAATTTTTTAAACAGTTGAAGTAATAATGCTTTCATATTATCATTAGCACCTGAATTATTCAAATATTATTTTATCAACAGTAAACCATTTGTCAATAAAACACCTGCTTTATTTGATTGAAATTTTAAATGAGAGAAAGAGGGAGAGAGAGAGGGAGAGAGAGGTAATGAAAGAGAAATGAAAAGAAGCATTTTTCAAGCAGAGAAAAGAAAAGAAGCATTTCGACAATGTAGACGGTAATGAATGCAAACACGGATATTAGATACCGTAAAAAGAACCAGTGGTCAGCGTAAGGAAAATTAATAAATGAGGTGGGGTCGGTGTTAGATTGAATATTTCGCAACCTATGTAAGGAGCAAACCGGTTACGATTGCTCTTACTGGTTGGTTGATTTAACCAATCTTATCTTATCCAGTCTATTTCTTTTAATTTTTCACCTTCCTCCAATCTGGTTCCTCTACTTTTTTAGCCAGCCGGTCTAATCTTTTTTTTCTTTTAAAACATTTCATCTAGTTCGATTTACTTTCCCCTTTAAACTCTTACTTATGACTATTTCATATATCACAGATGATATTCATAATGTTAAAACTTCCTATTCAGCAAGCCTATCCATAATTCCGTTGCAGATGATTGAATCAGTTTAGTTGGAAACTTTAATTCACTACGATTCTTATATTTCTCTTCACATGATGTGCTGAAAAAAAAGTTGTGGATAGTGCAAATTCCCATCTATGTTTCCAATAGTAACGGTTATTATATTTCTGGCAGGACAAGTAAATGGTCAGTATGGCAATTTAGCATCATTGATCGGTGATTCACTTACACCGAACATTCTCGGTAATTCAGCTAACGGTGCCTCAGGTCTTCTTGGCACTCTTGGAACATGTTAGTTAATTTTTATTTTCCAAAATAATCAATAAAAAATAATTGTGATAGATTTTGCTATCGGTAAACGTCTAAGATTTGAATTTAAACATAAGTTTGATTTTGAATTTTAATATTCTTTTCATTTAGGAATTATTATTTTAATTAGAAATGATTCATTGATTGATTTTTGTAAACTAATTTTTGTAATTTTAAATTATTACAATGATTCAAGCTAAATATATGATTGTTATATTTCTGCTATAAACGATTTTATTTATTCATTTAATAAAAAGTGAATTATCATAAGCGGAAATTGTTTCATTGTTTAATCTTGTTGTTTCAGTATATCAAATTGCTCAAGGTGCCTTACGATTAACCGGTACCGGTGTTGGTATCTTAAATCAGGCTTCAGAAGGAAGATGGTTTAATAAAGCTATTGAAGAAGCAAAAAATGTAAATTTCTTTCCTCTTCTATTTCTTTCATTTATTAAAAGAGATATATGAAAATGGCTGGTACTTCATTATATATATATATATATATATATATGAATTACTATTTAATTCATATATATGAAATAACTCTTGATGAAATAGCTCTTCATAATGAATCCTAAAATTTCTTATAAAGATATTCGTGGTAATAATAATAATAATAGTTTAATGGTTATCATCGATTGAAATATCATATGATATCGAAAATTAGGATAAAAAATTTTTAAATTCTCAAACGTCAAATAATGTTATTATTATATAGCGATCAAACACAAAGAGAAATAAGGTGAAAGTTTTATTCATTATTTTTAATTTCCCAAATTTAAAACTTTTTAAATCCTATAATTTCTTTTTCTTGAAAAGATCATGAAAGCATGACTTTGAATTCTCCTCCCGTGTTAAATACATTTCAAAAAAAAACGAAAAATATATCATCGATTGGTTGTTTCTCAGATTTCCGTCCATCAAATGAAATAAAGATCCGGAAAAACATACATAAATCTTCGGAATATTCTAACATAGATAAAATTGTCGAATAAAAAATTGACCTTATTACAATTATGTTCTCTTTTCAAAAGTTTTATTACCTATTTCCTGTAATATAAGTAGCTACTGTAACCTTTTTTTTTTGAAAGACAATTTGAAAATTATTTTGTGATTATTTTTTTTGTTTGAAGATTTCACAGTTTTTCGATTTTCAACAATTTTCGACTTTAAAAATATATCATTTAATTTTCGACGACGAAAAATCAATTATCTATCTCTAATTGTAGTAAAATTAATTATTAATCTTTTGTTTTAATTAAAAAAGAAAAATGCAATCTGGAAAGAATGGATTTTTCGTTGAGAAATTACTTTACTTTCTTTTTAGGTTAATCGACAAATTCAAGGTGGAAGACTAATTGGTATGTATGTATCTTATTTCAATTTTTATTTCTTTTTCTAATTCGAATACTTTTCAAAAGTACTCTAAATAAAATAATAATAATAATACTATTCGTTGTGAAGCAAAAATTGATGATCTATAACCATTGTCTTTAAGAATGAGCTTTTGTCAGAAATGTCGTGTTACTAAGAAAATAAGGAAGGGATAATTGATTGATATTAATTCGTGATCAACTAAAATTTACTGATCAAAAAATGTGGATGAACCGATTTATTCTATTTAGTACATCTGTTGATCTAGAACTTACCTTGATTTAATCAGTATTTTCCTGGTTTGTTTACAATTTTCTTATTCCATATCCTATTTTGTTTTCATTCAACGGTTACTTGCCACTTCAAAAAACAGCATGAAAGGATTAAGTTACAGTTTTTGGTACTTTCTATTTTGTGAATCCGATTAATGCCATATGTAATAGACAAAGTTTCTTGAAATTTCAGTTAAGTTCTTTACAGGTAATACCGGAAAAGTAAATTGTCGGTAAGAATTAGATATCACATTAATTGTTTTGTAAAAATGAATACATAAAATTCCTAAAAGTCATTGATCATTTTCAAGAATGAGAATTTGTAGAAAAATAATGGATCAGGAAAAAAAGACGAGCAAAAGAGGCAATACTACAAAATTATAATTTCAAATTCTTGCTCCATAACTTGTTCCTTTCCGGAATTATCAATTAAAAAATTTTTTTCGTAAATTTTTAATTCTATTAAATCCGTATGATAGTCTTAAGTATCGGAATGTTTGTGGAATGAAAAAGAATAGACATGAGGGAAATTAATGGTCTTCAAGTAAGATCGAATTGGACAAACATTTCAGAATCTGAAGAGTTTTTGCTTCCCAATCCTTCTAATTACCTTTAAATCTAATTACCTTTAAATTTATACAATTTTATGATGAGAACCATTCCAGGAAATGATTTAGAATCTGATTACTCTCAGCTTGGTATTAATTTTCCGGCACCATCACCTGCTGATTATGATCGTGAAATTACAAAATTGGAAGGTCTTATTCCATTCAGTCCTAGCAATATTACAACTACAGAGACAACTAAACGAACTGACACTCCATTAATTACTCTGTTTCCGGAGGAGGTAAATTGCTTTTCCGGTTGAAAGTTTCATGTAATTGATGAAAAAAATAATTATTGTTAAAAATAAAGGAAATGATTGATAATAAATTTTGAAATATGCCATCTAAGATTCAGTTTACTATCTAAATTCCAAAAGAATAATTAAGTACAACTGTTTCCTTTTTCTTTACGGTAGCTCACTTCAGATATTTTGTTTAAATAAAGTTTGATTTGATATATGTTATTTAAAATCATCATCATCATCATCATCAGGTAGCATAAAACAAATTACATTTCGAAATCATTTTGTTCAATTCTCTTTTTAGACTGAAAAGATCAATCCAAAGAAGAAAGAAAACCGGAATAGTATAAGTGAAATTGATGTAGATGAAACTGGAGAAGTGATTGATCGTTTTCGGAATAAGAAAAATCCTGACATAAAAGAATTTAACGATTGTGATCATGAAGAAAAACAAACAGTTCATTTTTCCGAACTTCAAATTAATTCAACAAATATATTTTTGAATATGCTTGAAAAGTTTTGAGAGAAATTAATCATCAAAAAAATCATATTCTTTCAAGATTTTTAAACAAAATTTTAAAACAAACAAAATTTTTTAAAAAAAAAGAAAGTAACCTGATCCGTAATCCTGATCCCGAATTTTTAATTTTAATTTTTTAATTTTCTTTTAAATTTTTAATTTTAATTTTTATTTTTAATTTCTTATACATATCCCAAAATATTATTTCACATTATTATGAAACTATTAAAATTACAGGATAATAATGAATTGCAGGCATTTTTAGGATAAAAAATTAGAATTGGTTAAAGAGAAAGTGGCAAAATTAGAACGATTTATCGCATTGCTATATGAAAGTAACATAACGGAAAATGATTTAAATAAATTGATGCAATTGCTCGAACGGGAAAAAACGGTTAAATCGAAATCAATCAAGTCAGTAACCTGATCCTGAATTTTCTTTCATTAATCCTTCTTCAACTACAGCTATAGCTTCAACAACATTTCAACATGTAAAAGAGATAAAGTAATATAGATTTCCTGAAAATTAATTTTTCTGAATTTTTGAATTTTTTATTGTTTTAATGAAATCTTTCCAACTGTTGAAGAATTACTGATATACTTGAAAATTTTTGCTGATCAATTATTTCTTGATGACAATATCAGAAAGTGATTAAAGAAATAGTTTTATGATGCCAAGATATTTTGGCATTTTGAGAGTTGAAGTTTGAATGCTGTATAGGATTCTGTTGTAATCACTAAGTAAATAAATTATCACGTAAGTAAAGTGATAAATGAATGATATGAATATTAGATTAAAGAAATTAACTATCAATATATATTAAAATTAGGATTAAAAATACACCGAAATTACTCTTCACTTACAGCAAATCTTCCATCACTGCTCCACCGATAATTTTTCGACGTATCGGATCGGTTAGTATCACCGATAACGAAGATAACGATCTACTTCCATCTACTACTACACGATCTCGAGCGGTAATTAGGCATTTATAATTTATTGATTAGCAGATTTATTTTAGATTATTTGATGAAATTTTGAAAATTTCAAAAGACAAAAAAATATTTCAGATAATCATTTTATTTATTAGAGAGCAGTTAGGATCAAATATGAACCGCACAGTGGGTCAATAATCGATTCAAGGTCTACAATTTTTAATCGTCCTAGGAAGTATCCACGTCGAGTAGCATATCGAGCTCGATTACCTTTTCTTACCAATGCAACTCATATTGATGTGCAGTCAGAAACAAACATGAATAAAAGAGTAATTCCACAAATTCACTTAACAGGTATCATTTAATCAGAGACTTACATTTAATTTGCATTGATGAATTTTGCTGAATTTGTTATTACTTTTGATTACTGTGAAAACAAGAAATGATTGTTTTAAGAGTTGACCTTAATGAGAAAATAAGGTTCGAAAGATTTTTGAAAAAGCATTAGCTCTTATTTTTTACTTGTTTGAAATTCTCAAAAAATTTTGTTGTGAAAATGAATTCAGGTTTATCGAGTAATTTCCATATTGAAATTTCTATTTTAGAACAAAAGTCAGAAATCCTGGAACAGCCATTTTTGCAACCAGCTGTTCCGAATTTATTTGGACAAGCACAAACTCCATTAGCTGCGCCAATTTTTGGAATTTTTCAAACTCCAACATTTGCACCGCCAATTTATCCACAAGCTATGAATGTTATTCAATCCCAGCCTTCTTCATACACAACCATTTTAGAAAATCATAATCAAAATAATAGGTTACAGTTTTATCAGAAACCTGCATATATTCTAGAACGACCGAATATGTATTTTAATTCAAATTCTAATTTATTAATTCCTCCTTTCTATAATCAAAATTCCTCATGAAACTTGTTGATTTTGTTTGAATGGTTAGAATAATAATTATCATATTATTGGCTCATTAAAAATTGATTTGTGGAAAATTGTGCATTTATTTTATTTAGGTGTCTATGTGTTGCAACGAGCCAATTGTTTATTATTTTTCAAGATAAATTATAAATTTAAAAAAATTCTTCGTGTATATGAATGTTTGCGTTGAAAATTTCTACTACAAAAGTAATGTTCGTTGGCGATTTCAACAGTAATAAAACAAGAAGGTAGTTGGATGAAAAAATCAGAGTAAAGTAGAATATTTGTTAATTTTCTGACAAAGAATTATGGATGAAAATTGTTGCAATTGTAGCACTGCAAATTGATTTTATGAATTTTTTCGAGCGAAATTAAATGATCAAGATCAGTAAGTAGATCGATGAAAAATGTCCGATTTATATTAGATGGAATGACAGATGAATCATAATATTTGAGCTTAACCTCTGTGTTTGGAAGAACAAAGACATTTAAGGAATCTGTTAAACTGATAGTGATGATAGCTGTGATTACAAATGATAATTGATAAAAGAAAGTAAGGTTATGATCACTTCATATTTTTCATATTGAGCGCCACGTATTTTATATCTTAACCAAAGAATTAGTATCATCGAATATTATCCAAACAGCAACTGAACCAATTATTCGTGTTAAATGAAGCGGACTGACAGAAATGAAAGACATGTCATAATGTAAGGTATGCTGTCTAGATCCTGCATAAGGCCTGTCTAACGTCAAGCAAGCAGTCGCCATGAGGAAAAGGTCCAGAAGATGAGTCGATCGCATCCTTTCAACAATTATCCTTTCTATAATTATCTCTTTTTTAACGCTTTAGTCTTTTTTCCTTCTTTAAGAATGGAGCAGGTTTGTTGAATATCATTCTTCTCATCATTCCTTCTTTAACCTTTCATTCTTTTATTTGCTCCTTTCTTCCAATTTTCATTTAATTGTAATTGTTTTTTAACTTTAGCATATATTTGGCAATCAGTTTAGGATCTATTCCGTTTCACTTTGTAGCTGAAAGTTTTCTAAATTGTTTTAAATTAATATACTTTAGTTAATTAATTAACGCATGTTAATGTTACAATGAAACTCTCTAAAAAATTTATTTATGGAGAAAAATAAAGGGGTCATTCTGTTGGAAATCCCTTTTTAGTAAAACTACAAAGGCAAAGTTATTCCTTGACGAGTTTAATAGAAAGAAACTTCGGCCATAATAAAAGCTGAAAGCCTCTTATGTTTTTTTAAAATTTCATTTAAATGATAAATGCTACTATAACCTCTCCAGTATTCAAATCAATAAAAGAATATAGGAGAAATTGATAAAGGTCTAAAAAGAAATAGATTGTTAATTTGAGTCTGATAAAAATCCAATAATGGTGATTTGAAATATAATTCTAGTAATTAAAATTAATTTAATTATATAACCTTACATCTTTTGATTCGTTATCACTTCATGTACTTTGTTTTCAAACAATCTTACCCTGATCTCATCATCATTCATATTGATATGGGAAAGTGTCAAATTCACTTCAATTTTTAGTATAAATTGAAGTTTAAAAATTGAACACTTCAATTCCAGTTTTTGATTAAGTTAGTATGTTCCACTGACGAATCATTGAAAATTAAAAAAGAAATAGGAACAAACAGAACAATTAGAGATATCTGTTGTTGAGTAGTCATAACACATGTCAGATTAGTACATGCATACATAGATATATAGACACACAATCTATCGTAAATGACCTGATTTGAAGTATATCCCTTATTATATCAACAATAATTGCCGTTATCACTCAAAGAATTTCAGGAACTAATCGTACTTCCTACTATTTCAGCCTTATTTATTACATTTAACATTTAACTTTCTTTTGATATTACCTATTTCGACGGAATGAAATAGCTATTGATTAACAACTAGGAAATGGATATTGGTCCAGACATCTTAAAAAAATTCCAGATATCGCTGTAAATCGACATTGAAGGATTACTCAGATATCAGATATCGCTGTCTAAGGCTTATCAGATTTGTTTTTTGGAAAAGAGCAGTACCTGTAATAAATATATTTACAACGTACATTCCATTACTTCATCTTATTGAAAATGTTCGGAACAGACATTTGGGTAAATCAGTTAACATTCTATAATACTTGGTAAATAAACTCAAAAGTTTAGCGAGCAAAATAATCGTTTAAAATTAAGACAAACGTTATTGAAGAACTAATAAAGAAACGAAATATGATATCTCACTGATTTCTGCTTTCTTACTTTCATTATTTGATAAAAATTACTTATAACTTTTCCTGTTCAGATGAATATAAATTTTCATAAACTATATTCTATCTAGAATAACAATCTTTTAGCTGATCTGTACTTATTCCATAATTCAGATAGGACTGAATTAAGGGCTTAAGATAGAATAAGATCGAACAAGTATTTGTACTCTCAAAAATAGAATGATTTAAAACTTTAAATTCAAAAAAAAATAAAACGTATGTATGGAAACTAGAATTAATGAACAGCTCTATAACTGTTAATTTTTTTAATTCTTAAAATTATTCGATTAAATGTTATTATTCTATTAAATTGCGTCACTTCGATTTTAAACCCGAATTAAAAATTATGCGCTGACATCCAATTTCTAGATTCGTCATCCACCGGCACTCTAGGCTTTCACTGAAGAAGCAGACCGCTCCCTTTTGCCTCCCCGGTTCTCCCTCCGTATCTTCCCAGAACACTGGAATTCCCGCAATCACAGCGGCATCAAATTTAAAATCAGCCACTTCCACTTGAAATTACTATCTGTTGCAGCTCTAAAAAAGTTGTGCAATGTATTGGAGAACAATTGGATAGTGATTGATCTCGTAGTGGTTACCTCTCACCTTTCTCAATATTCTAAACCTCTCTTTTAGTGCTAGTAGTCCTCTTGCAAAACTTTTTAATTCTAACCACCATTTTCTGACATAACTATATGTCTGCGTTTATGTCTTGCTTTCTCAATTACTTTTTCTATGTAGTTATTGTGGGTTATTACGTTAGTAGTGCATATCTTTATCTAGGAATAAAGGGGCATATCAGTCCTTTTACTTTTTGAGAAGCCCAGAATTTCAGTTTCAGGCTCTAAAAATATCAATTGATTTTTCTATCTGCTTTATTTTCGATACGACAATTACTGCATTCATGTTTCTTGCTATTCGATTTATTTTCCAGGTCAATATATTAATAAGATCAAGACTTTGGATAGTTGATTTGGTTGTGAGGTCACTTTACGTCACTCACTAATACTATGGGAGACGTCAATATCGAATCCACAGGTACCCACTGAATTTTTTGGTCATGGCTTAGCAGAGTGTGAGTAAAAAATATAATTATAAAAAATAAGATGCTCAGTTTCTTAGTTTTTGACACATTAGTAATATGCTGTGATAGTAAGGAGTGTATCTACACTTTGCAGTTAGCAAAACTACATCTCTATTACGATATGAATATTGAACCGATTCAAAATCTATAAATGTTGAGCAACGCTGTTTAGTATTTTACACATTATAGTAAATCTTCATTGTTTCTTTACAGAATTAAAGACATTACGCTTTCCCTATTTTTTTTTGATGGTTGTGGTGTAACTTATTTGAACGAGTTTCTATTTTCTGTTGCAGAGGTGAGATGTGAACTGCCAACATCTGCAAGTCACAATTCACCTGTTTGTTCAGCGCAGAGTTCACCATATTCTTCCAATATTAGTGAATCAGAAATTGATATTTCGTCGTTATCACGGCATTCATCGTAAGTTTTTCTGGTAGAACAAAAAAATGTCAATTTTCGAACTTTTTACAAACAAATTTTTTCTCTGTCATGGTATTTATTCTTCTACATTAATAAATATTTTATTTATTTACATAGTATTGATTTCAGGTGTTCATCATTAAACCAACAAAATGCACTATCGCTGCCAGCAGTAACAACGAATTCTACATCACCAAATCTAATTTTAAATGGGGGGTGTAGGAGTATCTCAAAAACTTATAATAATGGACGGGTCGAACAAGACGGTGCAGCACGTACTCGTCTATCTTGCATTCCTGATAGTGCAAGTGATGAAGATATAACTGCAGAAGATAGTAGCAATAACAGGTATACGTTAAATTTAGGCCATCTAAGTTGAATTGCTGGAAGTATTTTCAATATATTTTGGTGTTGCAGGTTTTTTATTCAGTTTTGAATTTTAAATCATTGATATTTTATATTATCAATATATGTGCTTAACTTATGAAAATGTGCAATTTCTTTTCCTTGCCTTAGTTTTGGTGCGCATTTTCGTTTCGAGCGACAAAACACTGTTGAACAAAGCGGCATTAAATTGCGTTCAGTGAATGGTGTTACTCGAAGTGGAAATGAACCGGAACGAAAAACTTCGCTACCACGTACTGTGAGCGCCTGATTGTTTACAAATCAAGTACAATGTTGAAAATGCATCTTTGCATTATGAGAATTACCGGAAAATTGTGTCGAGTTATTATCAATGTTAGCTAAAATTATTGTATAAATGATATTTGACACTTTTAAAAAAATTGCAAAAATCACTTCACAAACTGTTGCACTTCTGATGCTACAGTTATATGGTAATTACACTGTCAATTTTTTTTGCTTTCAACACTTTTCTAGAAAGGTGACTTTCTTTTTTTTCGTAACAAAATCTTTATTTTTGACTGTTTGTAGTTTACACCATCCCCTAGTGTTTCGGGACGATCATCACCAGCATGTCATCCGGTACCTTCACATTCACGTGTTGCAAATATACGTCGAGAAAGTAATTGTTCAATTGAAAGCGAACTTGCCCACGAAAGACTAATGCAGTTCGCCCAACAGGTGAAGGAAATATTGGATTATTGAATGAATGCTGATTTCACATTAATTTGCAATTTCTAAAACTTTTTTGGTAATCCATATTTTATTCAATTTTTTGTTTAGGTATCTTTGGGATTTGACGATTTCAGTATCGGAGATAGTGCAGAGCGAAAAAGAACGCATTCCCTTTCGGAGCCGATTTCTGTTTTAACCAATGCTTTCATCCCGCACAGTTGTTCACCATCACCGACACGATCAGTTGATATACAAAAGGTTGTTTGCTTTAAAAACTTTAAGTATGGACAAAACAACAAAATTTTGCTGGATTAAATAACCAATCAAGGGATGAGAAGCAGATATCTTACAAACTCAAGTAATCTTAGTAGTCATTTTATCTCATTTGAAGTAAAGATTCTGAAGTCAAATGTTATCCACATTTTACTTTTTATTAGTTCTTATTAAAGTGTTCGTACAGTTAAAAATGAGATGAGAAAGAGTAATTCAATTAGTTTTCATGTTAGTCTCATCTTAGTAATGTGGAATTTGTCACTTAGTAGATGGATTCATTTTAGTGCTGTTCTCACAGTATGTACTTTAAAGTTGTCTTGCAAATATTTTTAATTTACGCTGGCAAGCAGCAAATCAAAATTCTCTTCAGCAGTGTTATTCACCCTCAACGCAACAAGTTGTTCGTAACAACATCACTTATTCGCCAAGTCCAAGTCCAACACCTAGTCCTACGCGGCTTACAATGCGGTACATATTGGTTCCATTTAAAAAAATTGATGTGAAAATTTTATGTGTCCTGTTTTTATTTCTTCTAACAATTAAGTATATCGTGATAATATAACAGTGCTTTGTAATTTCGTTTATTATTTCTAGAAGTCTGAGTCCTATAGCCGTTCGCCAAGTGATAAAACGTCGATATACCAGTTCAGCTGGTTGCGAATTAGATTCTGATCAACGTGCAACACGGTTTCTTATCTCTTTTCTCTTTTTTTGTACTAAAATAATATAGTACGGAAGTCTAGAAAGAGAGAGATATTAAAAATTGCATTTTGGATATAAGTTGAAAGAAGATTACTTAATAATTTGTAGGATAGCGAAACGACTTTGTCAGCAATCTCATGTTATAAGCCGTGGATGCGTTTCTCCGCTTGCATTGGAAAATTCGGCAAGTTCCTCCGAATCGGCAATGTAAGGAGTCAATTATGATGTTGAAATGTATTTCTAAAATTATATTAAGCTTTTGTTGACCTTAACTGGAGTTCACTATGTTATCTGGGTTCTAATTTTAATCATTCGTTTCGGTTTTTTTTGCTGATTGATTCCGCAACAGAAGATCGGTTAGGTTGCTTCTCTGTAAAGAAATATACAGAATTTGCATTATAAATGAATACTTTTTATGACAAGCACAGCAAATTATTTAAAGTAAAAATAAATACTTTTCGTGATAAATATAGCAAATTATTTGAAGTAAATCTCCGGAATTGGCGAATCCCTTTTCCTTTCCTTTTCCTCGTCTTCTGGTTGATCCAGCAATCGAAGTTAAAATCTCTTCTCCTCCGATGGAACTTGATGACGATGAAGACTCAGTGAGTGAACAGAGAACAGGTTCAAAGGTACTGCTAATTTTATTTGAAATATTTTTGATTTAAATAAGCGTTCTTTAATGTATTTTAAGCTTAGATTGGAGACATTTTTGTCATTATTTCATCTTTTATATTTTTTCATGGATTCAATCATCTAAAATTTTTGAGGGATCAAATGGCACGGGCAAAGCAGCACAGATGAAAAAAGGCGAATGATTATTTGCTGAAATTAATGAAATTAGCTGCACACAATTACACATGTTGCAAATTTTTTTCATTTCTTTTTTTTGCTTCTTATTTGCTCATGTTTCTTAGCAGGCATTCTTCTGCCAAATTGTTCTAGTTTTAGTTTCATATGCGACAATTTTCAGATCACTTCGTATTATGTTGAGTTTCCCTTTATTTTCTGGGTTACTGTATTTCAGTTTTGTACATGCAGCGGCAAAACTAAAATTTTTACGTTCGACTTGTGCTTCTTTTTCCAGACTTCATTTCTGAGTCATTCCAGAACTTCTCAATTTTTGCTTGCAATTTTACTGTCGTACAATTCGGAGAAAATTATATATGAGTTTTCATTAATTTGCTCAAAAATTTGCTGGTTTTGTATTTATACTGTATATTCTACAGTATTGTTGTCTACTGTACTTTAATTTTTTTGTACAGGACTGGAATTCTTGTTACAACTATTATTGTTGGCATGCCTTTTCTTGTCTTCCCGTTGAATTCCTTAATGACTCGAAAATTGCCATAGGAGGGCGCATTATGCAATATAGAAAAGCTGACTTCAGACTATAATATCCTGTTATTGATTAGAAACTGAAAATGAAAAATGCGCTAAACACTTAAACATATGGCATCTTACTATCCAATTGAAAATAGTCTGAAACGGCTCAAAATACATTTTCTTTCACTTTCAGCTTTTTGGTTCTTCTAACTTAATTCATAAGATTTTAGCATTATTTCATCTTGTAATCATATAAGCTTTAACAACTGAATAATGTCTTCTGATGCATTCAATAATTAACTGTTGTGAGCTATTGTTTGTTCTGAGGCTTTCATACCTTAGAACCATAAAATTCATTTAAAATTTTCCATGTTCCAATTTATCGCAATTCTGTTACACAATTGTATTTTCATATTGATGAATAAATTGAAACATTTCAGGAGAATACTTTTGTTCTTATCTGTGAACTGCTTTGTAATCACATTATCTGAGAGCAACTCTTTTTATCGGAACTGTTAAGCATGGTTATTTTAAGTGCAACCGATTTGAAAGCTTATAAATGTGGCACTAGTTGTATTGTGGGGTACGTTTCGGTCATAGCTTAGTAAAATAGTAGCATCTTATATGAGATGATTTGATCTATTTATGTTTGATCGGAATAGTCTTTATTAACAAATTGGGGGAAAAAATCATTTTATTATTCGTAAAAGCATTTTAAGCGGAATATACAGTCTATTTTTCGACAAATTATTGAATTAGAAATTATCAGTAGGTGTTCCAATTTGATTTTCCTTTAAATTCTGCACGATAAACTTTCGCTGCTTTCCTTCTATTTCCTTTTTAGTACAGCATTTCAACTATTAGTAATTATTGAATAGCGTTGTAGGAATTTTTCTTTTGAAGGTTTTATTCATATTGATTGAATTTTATGAGAAGTTGGGAGTTTCTGGTAAAAAAAGTTGGAAATAATTGAAAAATGGTTTGTCTGATAGACTAGTGTTGAGATTTATGAGGAATCAATAACTTTGAGAGGAGAAAAATACAAATATTAGGTTGAATAATTATCTTTAATTTAGGATTGTCAGGTATGTTAAGGAAATGCTGAGTGCGCTGCTTGTTTCTTATTAAGTAAGAATTACGGGAGCATCTTTACATCTCTATGCTAAGAAGAAGCAAAACAGACTTCATCAAAAAAGAAATCACTATAATGTACACTTTTTATCATGTCAGTTTTGATTATATGAAGATTGCGATATATTATATATTGCGATATTTTCAGCTTAATTTGTATTGTTTCGAATTTTTCATCTTATGAATGCAATTTTTGGAGTATTTACTGCTGGTAGTAATGGTGAAGGTTATTTCGGCTAAGGTAAGATTTGTTTGTTTAGTGGTTATAGAAGTTTGAAGGCCAATCATTCTCATTGGAGATAGTTTAAATAATTTTAGAATGATAATATTGGAATTATTGTTAAGTTGTAATTGTAGGCTGTGTTCATCGTGTAGTCATTTCACCTAATGACTAAGCTATTTTGGTGATCTTTACTAATTAAAAAAATATATAAATTCCACATTTTAAATGCACTGTTACAGTATACTCATGAAAATGAAATTGTATTAGAGGGGAATAATTGTTGGGTGACTAACTATACTTTGACAGCTCTGACGCTACAACAAAAGTTCGGTAATTGCAGTTACCCGAGTTCACAGATCCTGTTATTGTTGTTGGCAGTGGTTTGGCTGGTCTCTCTGCTACGCTTCAAGCAATACACGAGGGTGCAAATGTTATTCTTGTCGAAAGTGAAAAGGATATGGGTGGTAACAGCCAAAAGGTAACTTGTTAGACATATAATAATGGTGCTTGCAACAGTTCTGTTTTCAAATATATTCAGAACAGAAATTACGGAAAATGGAACTTTTAGTTTTTGTTTGTATATGTTTATACGAATCAGTCAAATTTCTGTATTATCCGCGCACTCCACGGGATGACCGGACAGAATAACCAACATCCCGCATCTTGCCAAGCTCTAGTTTCCGTAGTATCATCAACTACAATGAATCTGATCTTCTGTCCAGTGCACAAACGATATGATACTTGTTTTTTGGCATTATTCAACCATTGTTATACTTGAGATGTAATTCTTCAGTTGAATTTCGAGCGCAGTATTTTTACAAAGAAGTTTTCAGAACAGCGTTCCTTATTAAAATTTTTGTTTTTCTGCAGGCATCGAGCGGAATAGCAGCTTGCAATACGGAAGCACAACGTGTTAGGCAAATAAATGATACAGCAGAATTGTTTTATTCCGATACAATGTCAGCTGGAGATCACGAAAATGATCATATATTAGTCGACCAATTAGTAAGCCTGATTATAAATGATTTTTTTGTAATTCTGCTCATTTCTTTTATTTTACTTCGAATAAAATGAAAAAAATCCTAAGCTAGTTAGTTTATTTCGTATTTTTCTATAGGCTGTAGTGTTTCATCCCCTTAGGATTTGGATTTCTCACCTCATTGTGGATGTATTAAACGTTAAGCATAGCGTTGCAGGTGCGTCATTCGTCCTCTGCCATACAATTCCTCATCGATCATGGAGTTGATTTATCAGACATAAATCTTTGTGGTGGACATTCGGTAAAGAGAGTACATTGGTGAGGCTACTTATAATTAGAGTTTTTTTTGAAGAAATTATTTAGGACATTTTTTTTGTTACTTCTGAAAACTTTTTTTTAATATCTCAGTTTAATTTTCGTTTTGCAGTTTCTAACGTTTCCACTTCCACTGCATATGCATCTTGCATATGTGTTTTAGTGATTCAGATTTTAGGATACCGCAGTCGAAAGAAGGCAAACCAGTATCGGTGGGCTTCACTATTATTAAAACACTGAAGGAAAAACTTCGTACGCATGAAAAAGATTATCCAGAAAAAGTAAAGCTTTGTAAATATGCTTTTGGTAAACTACATTTTTAGTCAAGACATGAAAATAGAAAATGTGGATTATTTTTGACAAATATATCTTTGGTTTTAGCTAATGGATTATTATAATACAATTAGGAATAATAAAGTTGCTCAAATTTAAAAATATTTTCGGTGCGCATACTACTGGGAAGCGAAGTAATTGGGTTGGTTACATGGAACGATTTTGTGACCGGTGTACGTATTAGGAATGGCAGTCAGATTGGTAATATTTATTATTCTAATTAAAAATTTTTTTATTTAATCTGTTTCACTGAAATGCTATTGCATTCAAATATTCAAAGAATAGTTCATGTAAGCAATTAGAGAGCTGACATCTTTGGAGTTCTTTTGATTAATGTAGCGCTGCAATAAAGGACAACTATAAGTTGCAGTTAACTGTTCAGTCCAATTTATTAATAGCCTAATAATTAATGAAGCATTACCTAAAATTCCGATGCAAGTTCACTATTCAAGCATGAAAAGCTTTATAAATATCGTGTTTTTTAGTAAAGACATGAAAATAGAAAATGTCGATAAATTGGGTTTTCTATTAAATTTTAAGACACCAAAAAAATTTATATGGTTGTATTTTATGGTGGCATTAGTTCTGTTTATTTTTTAGTAACAGCTTTGTGATAATATTATTAGTTCTTACACATCTTAGTCTACTGTAAAGTTAAGATGACGCAGCGGAAGTTCAATAACTGCGTGAATTAACAGAATCGTTTGATGCTTATATTATTAAGAGACTGATGTATTTGGCATAAAAATACAGCGTTTATTAGCGAAATCAGTAGGATAAAAAGGAGGGAATGGAAAGTGTTGTTGAATTGTTGACTATGACACTTACCGAATAGTCGGAAGCGAGAACGCCAAAAGAACGAAGAATATCGTCGGTTACAAATTTGCTGCTTCTTTCGCAGTCTTTTAGAGAATTTCGCATTGCATAACTTTTTTTGCTCTGTCTATTGGATGAAATTTTCTTTGTCATTGGTTGAGCATTCAAGTTTTGCTTCTTAATTTTAAAATAATCTGTGTCCTGCTTATTTCTGCTCTTTCTCGCCATCATTTCTTGCGTTCCTTGCATTTCTTTCCATCGATCACCATAACCATAACCGCGTGGTAACGATGGGTGCATGAAGCCATTACCAGAAAGCCTGAATAGAGATTATATTATTTTTTATTATTATTCATGAACGAAATAGTTCTGACAGTTTACTTGATTTTTGCAGAATATAAACTTATTTATTTGCTTACTTGGCTGATCTAGTCGGTCCTGGTAACTGCTGGTTGTTACGTCGAAAATATGCCGATCTCATTACTTTACGCAGTTGCGTATTATTGTTCATGGTACTATAATTTTTTTTGCGCCAATATCGCTGACTTGGAAATGTATCTTTTGTAATAAGCTTAAAAAATAGGTCAAATTATAGTGATTGCTACTCACTCCCTAAATCGTAATATGCCGACAGTGAGAAAATGATATCAATTTCGTTGAAAAAAGTATTACTTTAAAAATTTTGCGATCATCGTGATCCATTAAAATAGTAATTGGTGGTCGTAGATGGGTATGGTGAGCTCGTCGATGCAGGTGATACATGTTGCCATCACTTCGGTATAGGCATATCATATTGCTTCGAAAACTATAACTGACTGTGCCCTCACTGATATGAAGCTGCACAGCATTCGGAAGTAGAGCACTCTGTAATATACCATTGATGGTTAGAATGATAATTTCGCTGGATTAGGATTGACAGATTAATTTCATTGTTTATTCTCAGTTAAATTATAGTTGGATAGCATCAAGAGAGACGCAAGATTCATTAGAAATATAGTATTCACAATTTGTTGGAGTGTTATTTTGAAGACTGATGAAGCTTCCACAATAGCAACAGCTAATTTTCCGTTAATATTTATATCCAGAATCATTTCACGAGTGAGCGTTTCTGAATTAATTTTTTCGTTCTTTTCCTCTTTGCATATCTTACTCTCATCTTCTTTGATAATCCTTCGACAATTGCTAAAATGATACGCTAACTTAATCCCTTTTCCGGAAAGGAATAGTGAAGCATGGTTTAAGGTTAACGTAGAAATTTGAAAGCAGTTTTATAATTTGGTGAAGTTTAGTTTGATAGTAACAAATGCAATTGTTATTTTAAAGGAAATAAGCAAATTTATAAAATATTTGTGAAAAAACGAATCTTTATGCATGCTATTTAAAAATCACTTTAATAATATATTTGCTAATTTGACAGCAAATCGATCCACTTTGTTTCGTGGTACTTTGTAATAAAAATAGGCGGCAATAAATGCTACTGCTTCTTCGATTTCTCGATACATAACTTTTTTGGTGGTCTAAATTTTTTATTTTGTTCACTTTATTTTCCAAATAAAAATCTGAGCAAAACCCTTCAAAATCCTAACAGTTTGTAAAAATGCTGCAAGCTGTCCAATTTTACAGCAGGATGTACATATGAGAAATGATCTCTTATAATAGAACTCAGTGAAGCGGAACTGACTGTAAATGAACCAACTCGCAATGATGGAAATCCTTTGTCAGCTGATTTATTTATAACTTAATATATTCAAATTTTCAGATGAAATATCTGGGAAAGCAGTTGTTCTGGCCACTGGTGGTTTCAGTTGCGATTATTTCAATGAAAGCTCTCTATTGCAAGAATTTGCCCCGGAAAAAGCTAACTTTCCTACAACTAACGGTCCCTGGGCCACGGGGAGTGGGATTAAAATGGCTCGAGCTATGGGTGCAGCTCTCGTAGGCATGAAAAATGTTCAGGTAAGATGGAATGTTTCGGTTGATTATATCCGTAGCTTTTACATCGTTTAATATAGCGAAGTGTAACGAATGTAACGAATAATAGTCACATATTAATTTTATTTACGGCATCCTAGAACTATCCTGAGAGAATTGGGGAGGATTATTTTCTCCGTTTCCTTTCTTGCACTGAGAAAACCTGTGCTCTTATTAGCAGAATCCTACTCTTCATTTTCTTTGTGAGGGTTTTACAATCATTTTGTTGTAAAGCTCTGTGATTTTCTAAATTATACGTATTCTTATAACATTCTAAATACAGATGGTTAGCTCAGTAACTTTTAATCTTTTTTTTAGTTTGATAAGTATACTTTATAATTATTCTATGTACGAAACTATGAATAAAATTTAGATCCATCCTACAGCATTTGTGGACCCGAAAGATCCAGCAGCAACAACTAAGTTTCTTGCCGCGGAAGCTCTTAGAGGAAAGGGTGCCATTTTGGTACATTTTTTTTGGTTTTTCTGGAAATTGATTATAGATGATTGAATATTTTTGGCTTATCAAAAAAGTGATGTGTTCAGTGGCTTAATATTTAGTTTAAAAAGTTTTCGAAAATTCTAGTTAAACGATAAGGGAGAACGATTTGTAAATGAGCTGGGGCGCCGTGATCATGTCACTGATAGAATTTTGAAATTCTGTGCTAAAAATGAGGAAGCTGGTGACGCTCATACTGCTTTCATGATTATGGATGATCAAGCAGTAAACGATTTTGGCCGCGCTTCATTTAATTTCTATGCCACAATTAAAGGTTTCTTTAAAGTAAGAGCACTTTGATTGCACTTTAATTATTAACATTTTTTGTCCTCGTCGGTGATTTTTTAGCTACCCAGAAGTAGCAATCGGTTTTCAAAAACCATTTGTCTGAGGATCATGGATTTTTTTTGTTGGCTTTTACGGAGTTCACTTTTTCTTGTTTTTGATGTGTTTTCTGTATTATGTCGAATTTTTATAAACTTTGTACCTTAAAATGGAAACTAGTGGAAAAGTTCCCTTCCATTTCAGCAATTCGACACTGTAGAAGAAGTAGCGAATTACATGAAAATAGAATCATCCAAATTGAAAGCAACTTTAGATGAGTACAACGAATATGCTCATTCAATTTCGTCTAAGGTAACAGTGATGAATTTTTATTAGAAATATCAAATGCAAGGATTTTGGAAATCCTGCAGAACCTCATATTTAGGATATTTATTTCAGGAGGATAAATTCGGAAAGAAGATTTTCCCAGTTGCTTTGGAACATCTGCCTTATTATGTTGCCGTTATCACTCCAGCTATTCATTACACAATGGGAGGAATAAAAATTAATAAAGATGTAATTCCTCTTTCTATTATTTTACTTAGATAAGGAAATTGCCCTGGCTTAGAATCTTCCTTTGACATCTAAATGGTATCGAAACAACTAATTAAGATCATATAGATTTGAGTGATTTTAATGTTATTACCTTATGGTTAAACGATTATATGATCTGTCATCTGGAAACAACTCCTTTAGTGGAAAAATGAGTTTTAATTAATATAGTAATTCCCAGTAATTTTTCTTATTTTCGTGAAAGCTGTTGACATATTATTTTTAGGCAGCTGTGTACAATGAATTTTCGAATAAACCATTCAAGGGCTTATTGGCTGCGGGAGAAGTCACAGGAGGTGTTCATGGTCGTAATAGGTTGGCTGGGAATTCATTGCTCGAATGCGTTGTTTATGGACGTATAGCTGGACGCAATGCAGCAAACATACGTTATTCTGCTTCTGACACAATGTTAACACGCACTGATTTATAAAACATTTGTTATGGCATTTTAATTGTGAAATTAATAGGTTTGTAAGAGATTTGGAATTCGTATTGTGGTATTACATTTCTCGATTATCTTATTAGAAATATTCTACCAGAGCTTCTTGCGATTTCGTGTTTACCTTTATTTTCAAGTTCTGTATGAATTTAAGTTTTTAAACTTGGTCTTTTGATACATTTTCTCTACCATATTTCAAAATATTACGGAATTACTTTTGACAGAACGAATCATATTTTTGCCATCGGTACAGTCGAGACTTATTATGTGTTGTGGGACTTTTATCGTTATGTAATGCATGTATGATCTTGCTATATAGCATGCTTTATTCTTTGCCTTTCATAATTTGCAATTGTTTTATGGCGGTGCGGTCGTGTATCCTATGTAAGCCGATATATTTATTTCGCGTAAGTATTGCTGTCAATTCAAATACAGACCGCAGTTATTTGTTTCGGTTTGTTCAGGTTGTGAAACTTCAAAAGTTTGAAAAGTAAATTCGATACATTTTATCAAAATAAATTTGAAAGAGTTCAATATCTGAATCCGACAGAGCCAATTTTCAAGTCTGAAAATTGTGATGCAGATTGTTGTTCCACTTCAGATCACATGATGCTTGATTGAGTGTTCTTGTAATATCATTTCAAGTTTCATATATAACTCTTGAAGGTATGAGAATGGAAGTCACGGTTTGGCAGGAAATCAATCCCTCCTCATCTGATACATTGCTTAATCACAAAAATACTTCAAACAATGTATGCAATCCTCCCTGCTGTACTTCTATACATATAATCGAATCTTATTCCATTCAAGAAAGATATCCTTTCTTCACACAAAAAACGTCTTACCGCTGACTATATAACCGTTCTATTCTTTCAATGGCATGCGTTTCATTTACCTTGTGTTAAAAGTATTATTTATTAGTACCGAAATCTGAAAAAAGGCGGATATGGATGATAAAGGAAAATGTTCAACAATTACATCACTATTTCCGAACAAATGCGCACCTGTTAAGAAATGTAAAACTAACTGAATTCATACTGTTTGAACATGCGCCTTCTTGGCATTCGTTTGTTTCATTGTCTCTTTATAACAAATTGGTTGGAATGGCTTACGATGCGTGCGCGTAAGGAATGGGTGGCCGCGCGCGCGGTGACGATTGTGTGTTCCATATCACTCCGGTGAGGGTGAGCAGGTGATGGCTTTGTTAGTGACAGTCTGGTTGTGTGTTTATGGCTGGTGATGCGGTACCGCGGGATCTGAGTAGTAGTGTTCGTAGCGGTTGCCATCTAATAATATAGGCAGTTAATAGTGTATAACAGCTCTCTGTTGATTGATAAGTGAATTTTAATCAAAAGGCTTACGCATGTTAGAGTGTGATGCATTTGGTCAGTTACAAGATGTTAATATTGGATAGTCCAGATGGTTATTATTGATAAGCCCTGATACCTGAAACCATACTTAGTGGTTTGCTTGTCACCGGTTTTGGTATCATTCCAGATCGGGGCTGTTTGGAAAGGTTCTGTTGTCGTACAATTTTTTTTTTCGTCAGGCAGTAGTTTGATTTCCATTGATGGCTGTTGTCGCGGCATGTCTACAGGCATAATCTCTACCGACGCTATTCAGGACGCATTGCAACGCGCTAAAGAGGTATGTTAATTTTCCGTTGTAAGTATTTGAAAAACTCAAATTGCATTTAATGAAGTGCAGTGTTATGCATTCTGCAGTACATCGTATAAAATTCTTCGGCATTTATTACTTATTATTTGATTAATTTCCTGCAATTTTTGTGATACTATTCTTATATAGGTCAACTTTTCTGTGTCCGTTTTTTCTTTTTTTGGGAGATGACTAGGCTCGAAAATCACTGCTGACTTGCCGTTATTGCTCTCATAGAGTACTGTTAGTTGAAATATTTGCACAAGTGCATTGTTACAAACGTTTTGTTTTGTTGGTTGGAAGTATAATAATGCATCTGAATAGGACAAGTTGAAAGACCTCTTTTCTCCTTATATGATGTGAAATATGGGACTGTGGATGTCACTTCAAAATGTTATTGCCTAGATTAGGAAAAGAGGAACAATTGTTGTTGTTTCTAAGTCCATGTCAGTTTGTGCACTCAGTCTAGCCAGTGATCTTCAAACTTCACTTAGATATATATTTCCGCGTATTATCTTGAAATTGATTTTGATAAGAGTACAGAATTACCGTTAAATTCTGTTTTGTTATTCAGAGTAGTGAATTATACATATATTTATATATTTTTATATGCTCAACAAACATCACTTCTTTTATGTAAAAAAGATATGTTAAAACTTTGATTATACTTCACCTTGGGCTACTTCGAAAAATCCTCCATTCGAAGATATAGTGTAAAGGATTTTTGTGATTTTATAATACGGTACGGTTATTTGACCTCTTGAAAAAAGATTAGCATCCAAAGTTATGACATCAAATCTGACTGAATGCCTTCTGCATAATGATGATGATGCCATTTGGTTTTGGAAATATGTTATATGGAATGAAATAAAAACTATTTGCCATATGTGCAGTATTTCGATTTTTATCGTAAGTTTGATGTTACGTGATATTTTTTTAACAAGAGGAAGATGTTTATTCATAAATTTTTATTCATGGTATCATAAGTGATAATTGATTGTATATGCATTTATAGTATATGTTCATATTTTGCTTGTTATGTTTAGCTCGCTGCTTCTTCACATTCGAATCCGCAGAAACGACCAAATTCGGACGATTCATCTAACCGTACGTACCAGTGATTCACTTGTTATTTTGCATATTATACGTAAATGTTATGGGAGAAGTGAAATGATGCGTTAATCAAACACACTTTCATATTAGGAAGTTATTGCGTTGAAACGTTCCGTTTTTGATCGGTGTAATACGCGTTTATACGGTATTTCATTCGCAATTTATGGATTTTTTAAAAGTGAAGCCTTCAGTTTTCATAAATACATAAATCGATAGCGATTTCTTCATGGATTTTCATTGTTGATGTGAATTATTTCGATTAATTTTCGAACGAGTCATTTCCAACTTGTCAATTTTATCAGTGCGGTTGTGCATTTCATTTAAAGCTCCGTATTTGCAATGCGTATATTATACTTTTGGTGTTTTGAATGCGTGATATACAAATATAAAAAGTAGTTAAATTTAATATGAAATGATGCTGATATTTCTGGGATGGAAAAACGTTTGCTGTTTTTTCAGTGTATCCAACCAAAAGGGTCAATATCACTGGCAACGCAATGGACATGGGCGGAAGCATGCAAATCTCAACACTGGGTGGTCCGGGCCATGTTGGGGCAGGAGGTATGCCGCCAGTTGGAGGTGTCGGAGAAGTTGTTATGGAAACAATGGAGGTTCCGGACCATTGTGTTGGCCTCGGTAATGGTAGATATTTGCTATAGTTTTGCGTCCATTTATTTATCCCTTTTTAAATTCTCTTAACCATTAATTTTTTTTTGTTATAGACAGTGGATTTGGCTAATTGAACTGATTAATTGAAAGCGATGATGTGATGTTATTTTTTATAGTGATTGGCCGTGGTGGTGAACAAATATCGCAGATTCAGTCACAGACCAACTGTCGTGTGCAAATGTCACCAGAATCAGATGGGAATAACATGCGTCAGTGCACTTTACAAGGCAGTAAAATGTCTGTAGATCGCGCAAGGGCAATGATAAATGAGGTTGCTTCATATTACTGCTTCCTATTTTTAATACTGATGGTGGGGAAATTATTATTTGATTGTTTGAGCGAATTTTCTGCCAGTTTTCACACCTGTGCCTTACATTGTTTCATTTATTTTCTACAAATTTGCGATTTTGGAATTTAATGCTCGTAAATTTTGTACCTCATTTGCTTCGGATTTTGCGTCTTTACTTTGTTTTTTGAAATCAAGTATTCTCATCTAGATTATTCTTTGGACTGCATCTTTTAATAATACCGTCAGCTTTCATTATCTAAAAATTTCCATGACTTTTATCAAACGGGAAGCTGTTGTTATTGTTATTGTTACCGTAGAAGAAAAAATCGGAGAATGTACTTTTGATTCATCCTTTTTTGGTTGAAGGAATCCAGAAATTATGACGATAAATCTTCTGTTTTCAGGTAATAGCTCGAGCGGGAAATCGTCCTCCACCGAATCGTGCAGGCCACTTTGATGGTGGTATACCTGTTGGTTCTGGACGCCAAATAACTCAAGAGATGTGTATTCCTGGTGCAAAATGCGGCCTCGTTATTGGAAAAGGAGGAGAAACAATCAAAAATATTCAAGTACATATTTAACACTGTTCATCTTATAATTTCTTTTCAGGGAAGACTTAATTATTAAATATTTTGAAGAATTTTGGCTGGTGTTTTGCTACTTTTTGGTATGTTTTAGGAACAAACTGGTGTCAAAATGGTAATGATACAAGAGAATCAAGAAAGTGGAGGACAACCGAAACCTTTGCGTATTACTGGTGATCCTGAAAAAGTCGAGAATGCTAGAAGAATGGTTGAAGAAATTTTGCAGTCACGTGAGGACCATCCACCTGGACATTTCGGTTTTCCTGGATCATTCGGAATAGGTAGTGGACAGCGTTCGATTGGAGAAGTGAGATTTTTATTTTCCTGTTTTCTTCATGAGAATTGCATAAAGTTAACAGTGAGATGCCGTTATGCTTTACCGATGGTTTTGAAACTTGCTTGTTTTAGGTAATTGTTCCACGTGCTTCGGTTGGTATGATTATTGGAAAAGGTGGGGAGACGATCAAACGCCTTGCTGCTGAATCAGGAGCTAAAATCCAATTTAAACCTGATGGTTTGTCTTTCAATATATATTTAACTTTTTAGTATTTGATTACGGTAATAGCGGATGATTTTCCTGGTATTCATATTTCTAGTCTGTTCTTTGAGAAATATTTAATATGAAATGGTAGAAAAAGGTCTGCCATTTGATACTCAAACGAAGAAGGAATGTAAACTGGAAGTTTTGCATATTGATTTATTGCAGATGATCAGACAATGCAGGAGCGATGCGCTGTCATTCAAGGCACTGCTGAACAAATTGCAAAAGCGACTCAATTCATTTCCGAACTTGTCAAAAAGAGTGGCGCGGCAGGTGGTGCGGAGATGTTTTACATGCACGTTCCATCAAACAAAACGGGATTGGTAATTGGTAAAGGAGGAGAAACTATCAAACAGGTAATCTTTGTTCTTTTGTAGTTATTTAATGGTAGTCTTCAGATATCAAATAATTTTGATGGCTGATAAATTTCTGTTAATGTTCTGTCCCCATATCAGACAATGCAGTTTTTATATTTATTCATTTTTACTTTTTTATTCTCCTTCTCGGTTCATTTTCGAAAAAAAATGAATAGTTTGAATATAATATATTACAACGATTATGTGAAGTTGTAATATATTCGTTTGAACTTTTATTATTTGCTTGAAGGTCAGGTTTTCTCGAATTATATTCCTGCTACACTGTACACAGTAATGAATTGCCATGCTTATATAATAACATCAAAAAAATTGCATAATAAATACGTTGTTTATAAATTACATGATCAACCACCAAATGACTACTTGAGAATTACTCACATCAAGAACTTTTTTCAGATATGTGCGGAAAGTGGAGCACATGTTGAATTATCACGAGATCCACCGCCCAACGCATCCGAAAAAGTTTTCATTATAAAAGGAACCCCTTATCAAATCCACCATGCGCAGCATATTATCCGTATAAAGGTGTTCATTTATTTTAGTTATTTTACATACGGCCGGAAACTTACTTATACGCGGCTATTTCTTCTAATTTAATTTCACGTAGTTTGCTTCTTTGAATAAGTTGTTATGTGTATTCAGCAGTATGTCAGTTGAAATCATGCTTGAGTTTTGCGGCACACAGATGTTGTTAATACGGAGTGATTCAAAAAAATTTTTGAAAACTTTTTTAAAGGTTGGTGATATTGCTCCTGGAACACCAGTACCGCAGTTTCATGGGCAAGGCGGTCCAGGAGCGGGTGGTGATGCATTCGGAGTTGGACATAACACTGTACCAAGTGCTCCTCAAGGATATGGCAATGGTAATGCCCAATTTGCTGGTGCTGGTATTGCTGGGCAAGCGGGAGCACAGTGGAATACCACTTTTGGTAAACACTATTTTTGAAAATGAAAAATTGATTTTGTCATTGGATAAAAGGTGTATGTAACACGATAACTATGAAACATATGTGAATTCTTTGGTTTTAGGTCATCAGCAGAGCGATCCCGGACAGGCTGCATGGAATCAACAGTATTACGGACAGCAAGGACAGCAGCAGCCTGGTTATCAGCAGGGAGCGTATGCAACACAATATCAGCAACCAGCACAGCCACAACCGCAACCAGCACAGACAAGTGCGGCTCCAGCAGTGAATCCACAGACAGGTATATTACACTGTGGAATAAAAAATTTTAGAGGCAACAAATGAGTTCAGCGTTTTTGCAATTTTTTTGTTTTTAGTTTTGTCGCGCACGACTTCATTCATTGCTGAATAACAGAGTATTTGATTAATGCTATCTCTTTGTTAATTTCGTTTTAAAATCCAAAATTCATATAAAGGTTATTGAAAGAGAGCAGTAAAAAATTATCTTCTGCATTTTACGAAAATCTCTCTGAAGTGTTTGTAATTTTGCATTAAAGCCAACAAGTTATTCATTTTCTTTCAGGTCAGCCTGATTACAGTGCACAGTGGGCAGAATATTATCGTAGCATGGGCATGCATGAACAGGCAGCTGTTATCGAAAATCAGTTGAAGCAGAATGCTGCCGCTGCTGCTGCCGCGCAACAACCAGCTGCACAAGCAAGACCTCAGCAACCGGTAAGTTTTTAAAATTATACTTTTACTTCTGTTCAAGAGATCTGATTATTGTCTGGAATAGTTGGGATTTAGTGTGATTTCCGGTAGTTATACTACTAAAAAGATATAATTGATGTAATGATTTGTTGTTGTGTTAAACTTTATAAGTTTTGAAGGCGAAATATAAAAGATCTAAATATCTTTGTAATAGTTAGTTGACATTACAGGGATATGGTGCTTACGGTGCGCAGCCAATTACTGCGCAGAATCAGTTCAGTTACGGAGCACCGCAGGCACAACCTCAGGCAGGTTATCAATTCCAACAACAGTACTGAAGCAGTAATGATGAGAATTGAAAGTTTGCGTGTTTTATTACTTTATTATTTCTGACTTTTCATTTCCTTAAATCCTTATCTGGCACATTGAAATCGGAACAGGTCGTCAATTCTTCGAGAAGTACAACACAGTGTTTGCTGTTGGATAATACATGATTTTGATGATTATATGGTGTTCGCTTTGTAGTTTTTTTTTTTCATGAAGGGGACTGTAAAAAAAGTAGTGTCTACTCTCCAGAATTTGCATGCTGAATGATTAAAGTCTTTATATGCCACAGTTGGTTTTTACTAAACTGGAACCACTTTGTTTTGAGTGCACTGCAATTCAAGCTTAGATCGTATTCAATCTTAGTTTCTGATAGAATTTAGGCCTGATAGAATCATCCTTTTCATCAGTTGGTGGTTCGTTTTTTGTGGCTGAAATATGTTTTGAATATTCAGGAGATCTCCCTGTGCTTTTTTTAAAAGAAAATTCTATTGCTATATTGCTTTGTATCCAATTATTCTCGAAAAATGCATTGTTCACATTGTTTTTCTTTTTTTCATCTCTCTTCCATAACATTTGGTTACATGATTTTCTATTTTTCTTACAAATTAAAATTGCTTGTGTTCTACCAATGCATTTCCAGTATATTGTTATAACTTGAGATAGTTGAATTATTTTAATTGAATTTTTGTATCATGATTTTGTAAGCCTTCTCACTGCCCGTATAGATGTCTTGTTGGATTTGTGACGATAATAATATTATCACCGGTATATTGATTGTTCAAATGATTGTTTTGACACTGCGTTATTCATTACTGTTACCTTCTGGTCATCCTCGTACCATGCGTTCATTTTTCTGTTTTGATCGTTTGTTACAATTGATGACTTGTTGCAAATAATAAGATGACGATAATGATTGTATTGATATAGAATCATGATTTCTGGCGTACTTTGTTTTCCCTGACTTTTTTTTGTCAGTTTTTTCTTTTATAAGGTATATCTTCTTGACAAGTACTTTCTATGAAGCTTATCCCTATTAAAACAAAAATTGTGGATTTACCCTCTATGACGATTGACCTGTTTCTGGTAAAATTATATGTGTGTGTGTTATAGCATGCAACATGCTACTGATATATGATATGATATGATATGATATATGATGATGTCGCAATTATGATCAAAAATCCACTTTTCAAGACTATACGGGTGCTGTTGTTATTTGCTCTATTTTCCCTCCCTCTATGCTTTTTTTTTGCTGTTTTACTTATAAATTTCTCTTCAACCATTTATTGATTACCATTTTATAGTGCAAGAATTTGTTTTTTGGAAATGCGAACGCCTGTTGTATGATGGGATATGATGTATGTGTGTGTGTGTGTGTGTGTGTATCTGTTATGTGTGCTATATGTATCCGTCTGGTTGATTATTTGTTTGTGTTTTCTGTTGGTTGGCTTATTTTGTTTATTTCAAACATATAGCGGCACTGTGTTGTTCACTTCTCGAAGACATTCAGGACTTTGTTCAATTTATTAACATCATACTTTTTCATTGTTTTTACTAAGTATTTGTCTTAACCACAAATTTTTTTCTTACGCACATTTCCGCTTTCTTTAAATTTCTTTTGTTTTTTTTCTCTCTCTAAATCCCTTTTCACCGTTATATTTTTCCCCTTCAAAGTTTTACAAAACTATCCGGGGAGGGGAAGTTATCCCAATTATTATTTATAATTGCTATAAATCATTTGAATAAAAAAAATTTTTTCATTTTCATTTTCATGGCATCCTTATCATGTTGGATTTTTGGCAATGTTTCTATTTCCATCAGTTATGCTAATATTTTCGTGTTTATTCGAAAAAGTTACATTTATTCCTGCATATTGTTAGGTGTTGTCTTTTATTACTAATTTATCACAACTGCATACATTTTATGTTATTCTTTATAATAATGCAATGTTTTCTTCTCTTTTCATTCATTCATTCTTTTTAATTGCGTTTGAATTTTATTTCTGCTCTTCACTCGTTTGTTTTTTTCCCCCTCTCCCTCTCCATCTCCCTCCCTTCCTACCAGCCCAATCTCCATAAGCTATGTTAAAAAATTTAGTTGTAATTGTTTGAAATGATTTTGTACTCTTTATTCATTCATGCCCCATGTTGGTTGCAGTTTTTTTTTCCCCTTTCATTTGTATCCTTATTTTGAGGTGTTTTCGTGCATGAGCGGTAATAAACTATCAAAGACAAAGTTTTTAGCGCAATCTTGAAATGGATTTGCTAATTTGCTAATTTAGGATTTGATGTGAAATGAATACGATCTGTTTGTTTGTTGGTTTTCGTTTTTGAATGAATGCAATTGGAAATGAAACATATCCGAATAAGAGGCTGTGATTTCTTTTTTAGAAGTTTCATAAAATGCGAGTTAAAATGTACGATTTGTTTTACAAATAAAGATTTAATTTTTTTGCGTGTAGAATTAAGTCATTCTGAAGTGTAGTAAATGGGAGAGTAAGCTGGAAGTTGGAAGGAAAAGTAAAAAAGATTTAGTTATTTCATTTGTTTTAATGTATTCTGAGCAAGGAAGCAGACGAGACTAATAGCTATGTTATTCATATTGTTGTATTTGCAATCTATATCATCCGTTTGCAACGTTCCAATACTAATGAACATTCCATTTTCACAATGATGAATAGCATACTCATCTTCTAGCGCCTAATTGCCTGAGCTTTTATCTGGCAAACTTTTTTGCTGTTATTTGCAACTCTAAATGTTCTTTCTTTGTTCGATCATCTTTTGAAGGTACCGTCAATTTCTCACACCTCCATTTTTAGATGTCGTTGATAAAAATTGAACAAAAACATGGCACTAATAGAAATGTTTAAATTATTCCTCTGTCATGGATGGAATGCTGAAAATGTCATTCTTTAATTTTTCATTTCTGTTCCAAAGTTATAAATGAAATATATCATTCCCCAATTTTGCGCCAACTATTAAAATCCTTCTTTCGTTAATCGAGATAATTAATGATAGAAAATCATCGTATACTCCGGTGATAATGGACTTCTTGCACATATTTTAGGTAGTTTAATTTGCGCATTAAATTTACTAAAATTCTGCATATGCTAATTTGCATTGCCTATTTGATTGAACCTATAATTCTACAAGGCGCTATCGATGAAAGATTTGCTATTATTGCTCGAAATATCTGTACATCTATTTCTATTGTTGAACAACAAAAAACTTATTGCTGAAATGAAATTGCAGCCAATGGTGGCATTACTCATTTTTGTTAACTTCAATATTAGGCGCTTTTTGTTCAGTAAGTTCATTCCCTCCTTTAAACAATCCTTTTTGTATATCGTCTTGGCCAATTACATATCATTTCAATTGTTTGGTTTGTTTTCATTAAAATATTGAGCCTAAGTTTTTCGTTTAAAGAACTATCTTATTATATAAAAATATCGTCTTAAAATTATAAGTAATAGTAAATAGATGATTAAGTATAATTAATGTTGATTTTAATTACTTAACTATGAACCAAAGCGTTAAGCTATAAGATGAAATAAAGTCCTTCATTCTTTCTTATCTTTTTTGGCGTAATAGAATAGGTCAAAATTTTTAGGGTTATATTTTATATTTTAAAATAGTTTACAAAAAAAGAGAAAAACTTATTTTGAATTAAGCAGAATGGTTTTCACTAAATGTTGTGGAAGAGAGATGAAAAATATTATTATCGATTGTAGTAAATTATTATTGATTGCAATCGAGAACGAAGTCATTTTATTCATTTGATCCAATTTAATAATTTTAATATAACTATATAAAGACTATTAGTTGGTATATCAAATCTCTTTTCTCTTACCTAAAAATCACAACTGGTAGTCCAATCATTCCAATCACTTTCAAAAACAGGTGAATTTTATTAACCCTTTATAAGATCAAGTTTTAATAATTTAACTTTATATGATTGGTTAGTGTTTTTGATTCAATTGAAATAAGACAACAGAATATATATGTTATATATATGCAACAGAATATATATGCTTTCAAAGTTAAAACATTGCTGCATGTTGGTCAATCACGATCAGGAAGCCAAAATTGAAAATTAATCTTTAGTGGTCATTTTGAAAAGAACACTTCAATGACATTGTAAATTCCTTTTACATTCTGATGATCGATAATTTTAATAGGAAAATAATTGATTTACTGCACAAAGGGATTTCTCTAATTCCATACGTTTTTGCTGTAATTCAGAGGATAATTACATCGACCGTATCCATATCCATATTACATTCTCTTCTCTAGTTTAAGGGAATTCCGCTTGATGCACACGAAAACATTTAGGGAAATTTAATAAATCATAATGAAATTGCATACCTTTCGCAAATTATTATTATGCAGTTTTCCGACAAACATAACAGAAGAAATTAGTATACTTACTTCATTTATTGCTATCTCAGATAGATTATTATATTAATTATGTACTCTATCGGGGAAGAACACTCGGAAGTTTTAATGAAATTAGCATATTTAAACAAGTATTTGACTAATAGAAGAGAACAAAAATTGTAATCTACACGGGGATATTTGCATCGTTTTCTGGTTTACCTGTTTCGAAGAGTATTTAAATTTTTGCCTTCAGTTAAATGAGCTACCAATTTTAGGCTCAACAAAAAATGCGAGCGGGATGAATATTAGAATAATGTTGCTCGGCTTAAGAGAACATTCCCTGAGCTATGTTTTCGTTTTTATCGTATCATACATTTAAAGAAGTTTTCGCAGGTGGTCCACGGTAATTTCGTCGTTTTGGTGCCATATTGCGCTCAATGATATCATATGCCATGGTAATGATCGATTCTTTAGGGTCTATAAATTCTATTCCAAGAATTTTTTTTGCCTGAAATTGGTTATTATTCATCGATTATCAGTGAGGTTATCACTTTTCGATTATCATTAATCCATGAACGAAAATATTTAACAAAAATATGGTAATGATAACTTACGAGAGAATTATCAAAATGCACTTCATAACCAAAACGATTCAGTATTTGCTGTTTTGCTTCCTTGCTGAACAATGAATAAAGCCATGCTATTGGATATGGTACTCTAATTCTTGAAATAATATAACCTAAAATTGATAACAAATACTTCATCGCAATATGAAGAATGATATGACAACAATGCAAATAAGCAAATAATTTCTGCTTAACCTTGCGATGAGAATTCATCATGAAGAACATTAGCAATATCGATAAACCAAAAACTTGGCTGATAACTTAGTAGAATTCGTAATCCATCGCTACGGGGTTCTCGCATTGCACGTACATGTGCTTGCGCTACATCACGTACGTCTACTAAACCAAACTGAACAGCTGGCACTACGGGAATTTCACTATTCAAAAAACGACGTATTATCTAAAAAAAATGGTTCAGTTTATATCAATTAATTTTGGACGAATAGAGGTATCACAAATGATCAAATATGATGTATCGCTAGAAAAAACTTTAAGTCGTTCTTTTTTCAGTTGATGTAATTTTATATTAAGAAAAATTTTACACTGATACTCGTTCCTTGTACGTTATGAAGAAGAGGTCCAACAACAAGCGACGGATTGATTACAGTTAGCTTGAATTTAACGCCTAAAAGTAGGAAAGAAATTCGATGGTTCGATGTTTTCAAGAAATGTGATAAATTATTCTGTGACACAAATAAATAAGAAACTAGGCTTTTAGTCTTTTTCATCATCGATGATTTGAATTCGTTTATTCTACAATTGTAGAAGATGATCTTGGAATGTGATTTTCGAGCGCAAATTACAATTCAGTTATCAGGATAGTTTAGATGTAATAAACTTCAAAACAGTTTCCTAGTAAAAAATCAATCTTCCTTATCAACCTTCCTTATGGACAAAATCCCATGCAGCTTTCTCGGCAAGTGTTTTACTCTTCACATAATCATTCACATTTCCTGTGTCAATATTGCTCCAATCATTTTCGGTGAATGTTCGCATCATATCCGTGTGACCTTCTGCAATACAAGGTGAGATTTGTAAAAGTTTTTCTTCATTACAGCATTATTTTCATTTTTTTCACTATCAAAAATGGCGTAAAAATAAAGGAAAATATTTCCAAGTCTCTTTATTTTATCGTTTTCATGTAAAGTATGGATTAAAAGACTAGCTGATATCGATATATACTCAACGATATCTACCTATTACGTTCTTATTTTCTTTTAATCATTTTGTATGAAGTAAAGCTCGAGCGATATTTCAAAACCTTTCTCTTATATTTCTCTTAATTGAGACTACTCTTCTTGTTTTGCATTATTTGTCGATAAATCAATAAGATCAATAATTTGAACAATTTTTACCATTGATGGCAGCAGTGGAACTGGTAAGAACAACTTTTTTAACGGATGATTTTGAAACAGCTCGTAGTACTCGCAAAGTACCGTCTACTGCAGTTGAAATCACTGATTCATCTGTGACAGTCGGAAAAGGACTTGCAACATGTAATACATAGGTACAATCAGTTGTTGCTCTGAAAAAAATAAGAATTATCGAGAAAATTGAAAAATAAAAACGAGTTAGAATTGGAAGTGATAATTTGAGTATACCATTGAAAATAGATATTTAACTGAAATAGAAGAACAGAGAACAGAAATAAATCAAGAATTTCTGATCCTGTATCTCGGAAAGAAAAGGCATGAGAAGGATATTTAGGAAAAAATCCTTGCATTCAGCTATAAGCAGACAGATAATTCAAGATGAAAGGAGAAAAAAGAAGAAGATAAAACGAACTGTTCCCAACCCTGATCGCTTTCCAGATCCGCCTCAACCAATTCCAAACGTTCATCAGCTCCTTCAAGTTTTCTCAGTGGTTCAATTTTGAGGTCATTATTGAGGTCACGTACGGTACCACGTACAGTATAATTTTCCTTTAAAAGCTGATGAACACAATGTATGGCAATGTAGCCTGATGCACCGGTAACAAGTACTTCTGCAATTTCATTTCTAAATTTTACCTAATATGTAATTCAGGTCGATTGAATTGAAAATGATGCAACTCACTGATATTTTTTAGTGTGAATTCGAGAAAATAAAACTTACTAATGTTCCGATTCGTTTCCATTTGATCCTCTCAACACAAGAAAACTGAAATTAATTTGGATTTTTTAAAAGGAATAAAAGATAAGCTGTATGAATGCACGAAAGTAATATAATGGAAATGGTTCTCTTTCTTTTGATAACAAATGGATAGCTGATTTCCTAATATCATTTAGGATTTACCATGAAGAGGGATGAGATTTTAAGAAGTTATAAACTGGAAGGAATTGATGGATTTATGACGATCATACATTTAGAATATTTTATAGCATCTATTTCATTTAATTCTATTAATTTTAAATTCGTCTGAAATATATGCAAGTAATTGCTGAAAGAAATGAGATATAATTTCTATAATTTGGGATAAAAATTATAAAATATTATTCCATTATTAATTGATATTGTGAGTGTAAGAAGTTGAAATTGAAAATGATAGAAGAAAAACAATAGAAATGAAATTAAAATTAAAGAAAATTTATTTTATAAAAATTTCTTCAACATAGATCATTTTATAAATACAAGCATAATAATAATAATAATGTCAACGACAGTGTATCTGAATTTGAAGGACGGGCGAGATTGTACGATTTGAGAAGGAATGAAATGGATGGCATTTTGGGTGACAAAAATGATGTCACCTCTTTTGTATGGATTAATACCGATCTATACATATTACACAAATACACAAACACATACACACACACACACACACACACACACACACACACACACATACAGATACACAAACACATACATATACACACACATATGCACACACAAAATACTACAGAATTTTAATAGAGGTTATACTTAATAGACGTATATTTAATACT